AAAAGTTGTGTCAAAATTAACAATAAATTGAGTTGTTAACCGGACTATCACTTTGGAGAAGTGGAGAACAAAAATTTAGTAGCCATGTTTTCACATTATCAAAAATATTATAAGCCCCAGAGGACCACCCTCAACAGCAGAACTGTGGACAGTATAAAAAATTTAATTGGATAAAACAGAGCGAGATAATTTTCATTTGGTAAATATTCTATACGCTAAAGAACGAATAAAATTTAACTCCAGTTAGACTTATTCAAAATATCTCGTTGTATACTTGTCCTTTTCGTTTTCCAGTTGACTTTGATAAGTTATGAATCAATCTCATTTTATAAATGTATGATCTCTCATTATCTACCTTTTTGAAATCACGATTGACTAATTATTATGGAATCGTTCTTTTGTAAGTAACAATAGAGGCAATACCAGCTTTCAAAACGTTTTCAAAAGAATTCAGATACGGATATTATCCAAATATTTATATAGTTTGCTCAAGTGAACAGTATATGTACATATATAGTTCAAATAAGTGCAAAGGATTTGAAAACATGTTGTCTGTAATAATAAATTGTATTATATACAATTTTATGAAATGTTTCTGTAAACACTGATTCATACGACATTTGAATTAAGGGCCTTCAATTGTAACTTAATTTAATTAAATTAATTAAAGTACAATTTGAACTCATTTACTTTTTATATTGGTGTAAAGAGCACTTACCCAATTTAAGGTTAATATATATCGATTTCAGCTAACAATGACAAATACAATTATTTTGGTACTTAAAATCTCGAACTGCATTCTGTTGAGGCTGCTTCAGTTTAAATTAAATTTAAGCAATTCAAATTGGATTTGAGTCTGTGCAATGTGTAAATCGTAAATGAATTTTACGACTGATCGAATTTGAAATTTAATGAGAAAAAACGAATGCTACTGTGAGCTGTAAAGACAAATGGTAGATAGCAGCAGCAGTGCGAAGGTAGATAATGATAACGAGCCAAGAAGACGAGAATACAAGGGGAATCTCTTACAAGGATTAAGGATTATTTCTGCAAATGAAGAGCATTTGTGCCAAAGGCAAAGAAAAAAGTTAAGCAAATGAAAAATAATAAAGTAATCAAAGTACTTTTTTCTGTCATCTTCCTCATCATCAGCAAAGTCTGAGTCACCTCAGCGCAAGGCGAGCAGTTTACCAATTTATGCGCCCAGAAAGAACTAAGCAATGGAGCGCAAATGGCAAGTTTGCTCAGATAAATATATAATGAATGCATTAAGGCAGCCGTTATTAAATGTACAGTGCAAGCAACAGCAATGTTGATTATACATACTTCATACTACTATTGCATAGCCCGTAACCGCCCTCTCTTCACTTAAATCTTTAAACTGAAATAAGCTTAATACAACTATTATAATGGAAGCACTGTACGTAACTATTTAATAGCGTTATTTTTAGATAAACTGGTTTGATTTTCTTAATATTATTTAAATCTTTTTTAATAAATTGCAATTTTGAGAGATAATTTGTTACTAAGACTTCAGACTTCTTAGTGTAGCCAGGCTATATAAGTTTAAAGCACAAAGAGCTTATATATCCCTTAATACAAAAATCAAGTTTAGTTATATTTTCCTACATATCTAACATGCATTTCGAAAAATAATTAAAAAACGGCATAAATATATACATTACATTAAATCACATTCATTCGAGCTTTGTTGCAAATAAAATTGATTCATTTGTACACTTCTATTATAAATAGTTTAAGCCAAGCCTTATGAATACCAATGAGCACATTTCATCGAAGGCACAAGGACAAGACAAGCTGTTTGCTAGCTGCTAATCTATATACACAAGCCGACGCATTTAAATAAGCAATGCAAATCCTGTATCATAAAAACAAAAACATTGGCAACAACAGTAGGTCCTACAACAATGATTTGCGGAACAGCAACAGCTGCGAGTTGGGGCACTCATATAAAATGCATTTCAGTTCGATGCATATACATATTCTTTTCCAGCTAAAACATAAGGCACAACCATTAATATTTATAGAGGCTGGATTCATGCACAGACAACTTTTCAGAATGCCTAATTAATTAATTATAAGCATATGCCAACCAAGGTTAGACCTCCAGACCAAGGCCAGCAAATTGTGCATATAATTGGCTGGAAACTCAACGACAAAAATTACACTTTTGACGCACCGAAGAAATCGTACCCTACAAATACGAGTATAAGAAGAATATGAAAATTCTGGGCCTGGAACAAATAAAAAAGTTAGCGTACCACCAATTTAAATTGTTTTTCAAAATTCAAACCTAAGAATGGGTTAAAAAATGTTTGTGGATAGGATTGGAAAGGTTTTTAAAATCTAATTTCTAAAGAATTTTGGCATAGGAATTTGATGCTCTTTCTAAAATTTCATTTCATTTATTTAGGATATATTTTTATAGTTGTCTTTTTATTTTCCTTCTCCATTAAGTGATCCACTAAATGATCTGGAACATTTTCTCGCTCAGTATTAATCCTTCTAATCCCCAGTTGCAATACGAAAAATTTGTATTATATAAGTACTTTATGACAAAGAAATTAAATTAATTTACACAAAATTATATATTGAATTTAAAACGTAAATTTTAAATTGTTACTTTTTTATAATACAAGCATGGCTAAATGGCAATATTTTCTGATACAATCTCTCAAATAAGTTCAATTCACACTTCTTACGTAGCGTATTTTAGTTTGTTTACACAACAGCTCAAAGGCAAATAAATATCCTAAGCATCCTTAATGGCAGGCCACTACTGGTATTCTAAATTTCCAGCTCATACATATGGTCCCACTTTAACGAGAGAAGACGTCGCTTCTCTATAGAAAAATGTCACAGTTGACTGACACGGCAGCAACATTTTCTAAAGCATTTTAATTGCAACGCTTCAGCATTTTAAGCATTTTGCGAATTTTGAGAATTTTGCTTTGCCTCCTGGCTGAGCGTAGCATACAAAAGGGCGCAGAATTGTGGGTGTGCGTGTGTTGACCTTGCAGTCAGTCAGCTAGAAAGTGAAAGGCGAGGCAAATTTGCATAATTTGTATGCAGCCACAAAACTGTGCAAATGGGTGAGAGCGAGAGTGGGGATGAGGGTGAGGGTGAGGGCGTGAATGAGCGATATAAACACTCAGAGCCAGTCTAGTATTTAGTTGTTAGCTCAAAAGCCGAACGCTCAAAACTTGCTGACAAATTGCGGCCGAGAGGAGCGTTAACAGCTCGCGCGCACTTCTCTCTCAATCTCGAGCTTGAGCCCCGCTTCCCCCCCGTTCCACTTGCGCTGTCTGGCAACAACGTCTCTAGATTGCTTGAATTACGCATGCAAACGACTAGGACGACTGGAACTACGAGTGCGAAGGCAAGGCGACGACGAAAGCTGCTGACGCCTTTTGCCATTGAGACAGCCAAAGTTTTTATGGCAATTTTGCAGCCAGACGCGTCAAGTGGGTGGCGTTGAATGCTACGGACATGGTGTGGCATGGTGTGGCATGCCCTGCCATGCCACCCACAAGCGCGTTGTATGAATATGAAATTTAACACAAACTGCAGCAAAGTAACAAGTTTTTCTTCGTGTAGGCTCAGCAAAAAATAAAAACTTAGTACGAAGGCGCGAGCGCACGCTGCGCCACAGAAAAGTGGAAAAGTTTGTTTGCATTAAATAAAGTGCAGAAAACTATGTTAAAATAGCATACAAAATTTAGACCAGGCGTCGAATTTAAGTGCAGTTAACTAAGAAATTGCATTGCGAGCAGAGAAAAAGCTTTTAAAGTTTTTTTTTTTAAAACATTACTTCAGTACTTACATGACAAGGAAAGGAATAAATCAGCGGGATAACACGATAATAAGCTTAAATTAGTCTTAGACTCTAAATTAATCACAAGCTCACACATACACAGATATGTTTGTCTAAAATAGAGAAGTAAAAAAAAATTAGTTATGTAGTTTCAATACAATTTCTGTGATCTATTAAAATTTGTAAATATTATTGCGAGTGCAGTTTAAGAAAAAAATAATAACAACAAATATGAGTTGCCAAAAAAGGAAGTACTGAAAAATTAGTTAGCCTTAAAAACGCCTAGTATAGGTTGATTTCTGATTGATCTTATCATGTAAATAAAAGGTTGAAATGCCTTCCTTTATGCAATAGATGTTTAGAAATGCACTAGTATTTTCTTTTGACCATGAACAGATGAAATTATGTACCAACACCAATAGGAAATGTTTCGAATTACATTGTCAAGAAATATTTTAATTAGAATCAATATTTCTATCTAATGGTACTTAATATTCTTCTTTTAATTGCTGAGGACTCTCCTACGGTCAATCTATCGCAACGAGTGATATAGCTCATCTATCGTAGGGTTATTAAAATTATTGGAAATGGAAAGGACTTGTTGTGTGTGCTGTTGATAGATATGCCAATGCCATAAAGTTAACGAATTAGAAATCTAAATAGAAATATCTTAGAAAGAATAATAAAACATTTCAAAGTTTCGTTATCAAAGGTTCTTCCAGTCACTAGAGTCCCGGACGAAATGGAAAATTATATGATGAGGCCTAGGCACACATAATCATAAAACAAAACTGATCTTATACCGTATGTTATTTTTTAGATCTAAGTGTATTCTACCAAATCATACCACTCTTTCATATCTCAACCAACAACCATTAAAAATCAATTTATTTTAAAGCCCCAAGTCTTTATAAAAACATGTCAAAAGCGATGATACGGATTGAATAGCTTGAGTAAATAGTTAGTTATCTGAGTAGCGTTAAGACTTTTGTATTCTAAGCTCGGGACATTCTTGGTGACGGAATAATTATCATGTCAAATTCGATTTTGTTCACAGTAAAGTGGAAAATAATTATACTCTTGTCAATTGTAAAATTTTAAGACTGCAACAGAGGTTTCAAGACTGGTCTTCTAATAAATGTTTAAGATGAAACTAAAGTTGTTTCATATACTTATCTTAGTATTTGGAACCATCGCTGAAGATCTCCCAGCGGAAGAGCCACTTTATTTGGAAAGTGAAGATGAACTTTACAGCGCATCCGTTGTAGGACTATTAAAGCTTTTGGAAATTGAAAGAACGTATATGCAGGCTGTTAATAAGTATGCCTCGGCATTACAGCACAAAATAGATGAAATACAAATGTACGTACAATTTTAGAAATAGCATTAAAACTAACGCAGGGTATTGTTTTACACAGTTACATACAGTCACTAAAGAGAGGAAGGCATGACAACTTTCAAGAAGGCGTGCGATTTGTGTCCAATTCTCTAAACGCCTTTGCACTCATCAGACGTCTACACCAAGATTGGCCCGCATGGCACACCTACATGAAAAGATCAGTTGAAAAAGGTATCTAGAAGACCAGCTTTCAAGGGTAAATATAAAATGTAATGCGGCTATGAACAGATGAAGTGCAGGTCATAGAGGATCTTCTGAAAAAAGCCCCCACTGTGGCTGATATGAACGAAGCGTTGCTGGGCATGCATCGCATAGAGAAGACGTACGGCCTAGAACCCAAAGATATTGCCAACGGCCGACTACAGGGGAAGCAGTATGAGTAAGTGGACGATAAGTTAATTGATATTTGCAGAGATTCAACATCTGTTGTAAGCATTCAGCTTTTCACACGCGATTGCTTAACCTTGGTTAAGCACAAAATAAAGAAAGAAGACTACGGCAGTGCAATACAGTGGTTTCGTATTGCCCTACAAAAAAAGCACAACCCGCATGAAAATATATATAATGAAATACTAGGCGCACCGTTCAACGACTCTATCGTTTCCACCTTAGAACCTATGAGCTCATTTAGTAAGTACTTGAACAAATAGTTCTCAATTGATTTAACTCACAACCGCACGTTTCATTCAGTTGTTAATAAAGGGAACAAGACTATTAATGCGAGTCAACTAGAGCAAATATTAAAGTCAAATAACAACACCTGTACCGCTGATTTGCAGCGCCTCTTACAAAAGCTAATGATCTCCAACAACACTCAAGATCTCGACGAAACAGCACCCACACCCTACGATAGAGGTTGTCGTGGACTTTTTCCTCCGCGCACCAAACTAAGTTGTCGTTACAACTACACTACGACGCCGTTTCTTAGAATAGCGCCACTTAAAATGGAAGAAATCAGCGTAGATCCCTACATTGTCATATATCATAATATTGTCAGCGATAAGGATATAGACGATATGCATAAGGCTGCGGTACCAAAGTTCTTCAATGGGCTGGCAGGCATTCCTAAGAAAAATCAAACGGAGCCTAGAGAAATCGTTTCACGCTGTTCCTGGGTAACTAACCCATTGCCATCTCGAGAACGTGTAAATCGGCGCTTTATAGACATGACCGGCCTTGATATTAAAGGTAATGCAGAGATACAAGTGTCTAACTATGGCTTAGGCGGGCACTTTAAGCCACACTTCGACTATATATCGGATGATCAAAAAGAGCAGCCGGACATAATCGAATTGGGAGATCGTGTAGCTACCATTAATGTTTATGTAAGTCGCTATCTTTTCCTAGAATTTAAATCACAAAACATTTTCGCAGACTAGCGATGTAGAACAAGGAGGAGCAACGGTATTCCCAAACGCTGAAGTCACCATCTTACCTCAAAAGGGTAATGCCTTGTTCTGGTTTAATTTGGAAAGTGATGGCACTCCGGACCCGCGATCATTACACTCTGTTTGCCCAGTTATAGTGGGCTCTAGATGGAGTAAGTCTATAGATTTCAATGCGTTAATGCTAAGATACAATTAATGAGTAAATATTTTTCAGCATTCACCAAATGGTTACGAGAAAAGGCTCAAGTCTTTACCCGGCCCTGCGTAAGACGCTAAATAATAAAAAAGTAACCCAATAGGACAAGCTGGTAATTCTCTCGAAATATATTTAATTTGTCCCCATAAAGCACACACATCACATTTTATTTATCTGTTGGAATTTGCACAATCGAAAAGTATTTCTTAAGTGAAATATGCCGTAGAAAATAAATTAAGTCGAATCCGAAAATCTGGTATTAAATATGGGACCTCATATAAACAGAGTTAAGTTACAACACACATATAGCAGAAAATATATCAGTGTTGTTCATTACGGTTTATGAAAGTAAGATCCTTATTACAATCGGGTAAAGATGGTTCATAAATAATATGCTTATAATTTAAAAGAAGCAGCTCTCAATAAGTTTGAAATAAACGTTCTACTTTAGGATCTTAAGTACAAAGCAGAAGCTCTAAATACTCCTTTGAGCTGTGATTTATCCAAAAATGGATATGGGTAATATGCAAACAAGAATATAATAGCAGACATGTGCAAGGTGGTGGTGTTACTGCCCACTGAACAGCAAAATGTACAACCAAATAAAACCACAGAACTGACAAGCTTACTGGCTGCCTGTCACTTGCGGCTAGAAACCTAACGCTCCCAACCAAACAGTGCAGTAGAGGGGAGACAGAGAAAAAGTGCCAGGACATAAGAAAAAATATGAGCAAAAACACAAAACGTCACCACTTCGGACACAGATGAAACAAATTGAACACACCTATGCTTAGATTGCAGCCTGCCACGATTCGACCTTTGGATTTCTGATTCTTTTGGTGTGTAGGACTCATAGGTGCGTGTTGAAAGCCAATGCCATCATTCTCTTGCTAGAACGAGGCTTTAAAGCCAAACACAAAAACAAGGAATGTACGGTCTGTCCTTCTGCTGACTCCTTTTGCGTTACAAATTTGATGGCTAAGCTACATGACCATGGCTAGTGATTTAGAGGTGCGTCTTTTGTAAAAGCTGGCACGCTTCCCCGCCTGTTCGTCGATTGCTTGTGTTTGTGAAGAATCCACATTCCTTATGATTGCTTGGGCGTTGTCAAGACGGCTTCGGTTTCACACGTTGCAAAGAAATGGCGAAAAGCATTTTATAGTTTTACTTTTGATGTGATTTTGAATGGAAAGGTTGAACAATATGATGAACTTGTTGCAGGCAGACAACTTAATTGGCAGCAATGTACACACGCATGGCTAGGAAGGTTAGCCACAGGTTGCCCTTTGACCACCAACCAAATATTAAACTTTTCACACGCCCCCCATCATCCTCACCATCATCATCATCGTAACCATCATCGCCAACACCACTGTCGTCTGTCCTTCGTGCTTCGCTGCATTTTGCAGCTGACACGGACTGCCTGAGCTTGCCGCTGACGCTTGGTCTGGCGCCCAAGTAACTTAATTAACTTTTTCCTACTCGTGGCATTGTTTACACGACGCCACATAGCAAAATAAATAAAAGTGAAAAATGTACCACTAGCACGATGGTGTTGAAAAAATAGCCAACTGGCAGGCAAAACAGAAGGCAGCAAATGCACTGAAATTTGAATAAAAATAAACGACATAGTTCGACCTGGGCATACCCTTCATTCGTAAGACAACTAAGTATAGAGATATTTTAATAAAAATTAAATTCCGAGCCCTTAGGCCTTCCTTAGCGTCATGATGAATAGTTTGTAAATTATAAATAATATGACATGTAATAAGACTAAGCGTAAGCTACACATTTAATTTAAGTTATTGAAATAATAACAGTAGAACAACAAAATTTGGAAAACTTAAAAAACTACGTTGTAAGCGCAATGCTGTCATGGTTTCACATATATTCGTTTTTACACTGCATCACTATTTAAAAACTGTGTTCATTAGTTCGATACTTAATTTATTATTCATGATTATTATGCTTTAAAAAAGTCCCATTTATGATCTTGAAAGAACAAAGCATATACGAAATTCGTTGCGGTACACAACTTAAGTTTATATATTTGTTTGCTTGAAGTACCTTCTAATTGCTTTTCTTAATTCTCAAGCATATTTTATGAAGCAGACGCTCTAAGCGGCAAGATCGTTAAAGCAAAGAGCCATCACACAATGAAGCGTTAAAAAACGGAAACGGAAATTAAGTGACTGCGCTTGCAATAGCAGTCCCGTAGCCTTTCCCATTGCTGCCCCCTACCTTATACAACAGCGATATGCAAAATTCGCAAAACGTCGCGTCAGCTTCCATTCAAAAGGTTTTCATTGTCCATCACTTGTCCGGACAAACAATAACAAGCGGCGCCAGTGGAGGAGCTCGAGTCACTCTCGGGTACACCAAACCACTGCGAATTGCAAAGGACGTGCCTAGCTTTCGATATAAAAGGCTTAATGCTCGAAGCTTTAACTTTTGTCTGTCTCGCAGCGTTTGCTTGTACTAGAGTCTTCTAAGACTTGTTAGTTATTAAAAGATGTTGGTTGGTACATTTGATTACACATTCGACCATCAATATATCGGATGGAAACCATGCTTAACAACAGCATAAATAAATTGCTTTTTTTTTAAAAGAATGCACGAATCAAGTTTACCAATCCATGTTGTAGAAGAATTTATTTTATGAGAAAATATATCGTAGGAATTGAATGGGATAAAACATAATGATTCTAGGTAACATACAATGAAAGTATTTCAGAATGATTTATGAGTAGACGCATAGGCGTTAAGAGCACGAAGGATTACTATCTCTTCATCGAAAAAAACACAAACTTGTCCGTTCTAGGACTTAGAAGAATATGGATTCCAAGTTTGGTTATTCTAGCTCTTGTTCTTTCTGAGATCATAGCGTTCATTTCCTTAGCACTAAACGAGTATACCCTTTAACCTTTTGGGAACAGGGTATAATAGCATACAAGCTCCGATGAAAGTTAAGTTTGAGAAGGGTTACCAACAGTATTTTAATAAGACAGTACAATCCATGGATACTAAAACATTGAATTGCTATCCTAGAAGCAATTTTGAATTGTTTTACAAGTTTATAGCAATTATTTACGAGGACCACTTATTTGCTTTTAAAATGTAATGTTATTTAAAATCATGTGACACCAAGAAACATCCAGAAATTATCTTCTCTGCAGAACTTATAGACCAATAACCATAAAAACGATTATGGAGATCTTTTCGCTAGAAATTCAATACACAGCTGCCGGGAATACCCCAGGTAAGCTGCAGAAAGCCTACCCACTAAGTCGTGCTTAGGTTACATATGGCACAGGTGTTAAACTTCTACCTGTACTACCTGATAATTAGGGCATATTTATACACGCACTCGTATATAAGGCGCTGCGCAACGAGTGTCGCAATTAGTTACTCAGATCATTTTGTCCAATACACATATACTGCCGCTTTAAAACTCAAATACGTGCTGCACTTACCCCACCATGCATGACGATGATTGCGTTTCTAATTTTGCCTTCAGCACCGATGAAGACTCACAAGTCTTCCATCATCAGTGGTATGCCCAGGGAAAGCTGCATGATTGTCCCACCTGCTACAGTCGCATCACTGCAGATGAGCCACCCAGCCAGCACTGGCTCAGGGATGGAAAGAAGACTGGGCAGCTGCAGCTAACCCGACAGCAACAGGCAGTGCTGGATATAATCGAGTCACGCCAAATCGAGACCTTCTTCTTCTGTGACGAGAGTGCAAAGGACAAGCTGGAGCATTTCATTGGGGAGACTTGCACGCAAAGTGTTCCCGAGCTGCTACGCTGGATGTTTCACAATCGCACGCTACGCATTGAGTTCAATGTGGCTTGCTACGTGAATATCATTAATCAGGACCAGGTTTTAATTTTCCAAAGTGGTACACTGGGCGTCGAGCATCATTACGACGTTGACGAGTGCGTTACTGTGATCTACGAGTTGTTAATGGAGCGCATACAAAACTATTTGAGCTGCAGTTATGACGTTGATCTGGAGAATTGCAGCATTACGCGCATACGGGTGCAGGTAAAACGAGTGCAGCGCAATGCCAGCGAGGATGGCGAGTTGAACGCCTCGTCACAATTGATGGCTCTGCCGCTGCAGCTGCATCATCAATCAGCATGTCGCTCCTCCTCTAATAGCAGCAGCGAAGAGGAGTTGTCCAGCCTTCATGCGGCTTATGTCAAGTGCGAACGCGAGTGTCATGGCTACTTTCCGCCCAATATGCGTGTCAATCTCTATGGTATACAGCAGTGCCAGACCACTAAAGAGTTGTTTGTGGTGCCGTATCATATCAGCGAGACGTTGCAGAAGCTGCCCAACAAGAATTTCCTCATCCTAAACGATGTAATGGGCCAGTTTCAACGCCTACACAGACTAGACGCTCCCCTGATAGCGACGCCGACGCCGCGTTCCACTAAACTGGAATGTCGACGCTGTCGCACGCATTTCAAAAGACGTAGTCGCCTGCTCATACATCAACAGCTCCGTTGTGGGCAGGATTTCAGTGTGGACAGCATGCATGCGGACATTGTGGAGGTCTACGAGCAGTGTCTGCCCATTTCGCGCAGCGTTTTTCAATACGCCTGCTATGGCATAACAAAGCCCAAAACAATAATGCGCAAGGGTCAGTTTGTGCCCATCGAGTGCGATTGGCGCAGCGAGAGTTCCGTTAAAGTGCAGCATGGTCCTTGCGTGGTCATAAGCAGTGCATACAATAGTAGTCCTTGTAAATATTGTTGAACCCATTATCAATTAGCTTATAGCAATAAACATTTAAGCGCGAGATGATCTCTGTTATTATTTAATGGATTTGCATTGGCAGCACTTTCGATATATTTGCCGATATCGATAAGAAGTGTGGATAGTGCTACCACACCGATGGCAGCGACTTTGTAACTGCCAATTTGCGTTGAGCTTAATTTTTATTTAAAATGCATAAAAATAATCCACATGAGCCAAACACCAACATAATACAAAACCCACAAAAGGCAGGCACGCGACTAGCACAGCAATACCACTAACAACAACAACAACAACAATGAACACAATATCAGAAGCAGCAACAAAGGACAGCACCGCAAAAAGAAAAAAAAAAACTTTGCAGACAATTTAGGGATTTTCCCTGGCGATTTTCACAGCTATTATTAAATGAAAATGTTGAGCTTGCTGTCAGCTGGGCCACCAAAAAGAAACGCCATAAAAATAAGTATGGGAAAAAAGAGCGTTCCAAAACTTTTCATAGCGAACAACGCGCCACAACAATCAGCCAAGAGCCAAACAACAACACCAGACGCCAGCATAGACCAATGTCCCGCACCCAGCTACGCGTCCATCGCAATGCAACCGCCCACACCCTCAGAACCCATTTTTTTTTTCTGGCCATTTATTGCGGTTTTGTTTTGTGTGGCCGGCAGCCAAAAGCGGACCGTGGACAGCGACGGGTAAAGTCAAAAATTTCGGTGTCTGGTGCTGGGATCTGGCGTCGCCTACTTGCTAATTACTCGAGGGAAAATGAAAATATGTTTTTGAAAATGTTTGAGCACGCAATTTGCATTAATTTAATTGAATTGATATGCTTGCCTAATTGTGTGTTTAATGATTTTTATGGCTATTCGAAATTCAAATGCTATTGCCCGCTGTAGGGCATTTGCCTCAATGGCATAAGTAGAACAGGAATCACAGCAGAGGTATTAACGTCTATATGCATGTACTCTATGGCTTTAGATGTCTATGCTCGCAGCAATCGATGGCATGTTAGCATTTCTGTTGTTGCCCTGGAGCTAAGATGACAACAATGCCCAGAGCTGGGGCTAAGAGCATCTGATGATGGGTCCAGGAGCAACTCAAGTGTCACAACACGTATATCAGCACGTGAAATTAGATTATTAGAGTGGTGGCGTGTGCCTTGAAAAAGGCAAACAACAAATTGGAAATGTGCACAACACAGCAATACAAACACTCGACCTACCTCCCCCCACCCAGCCTGGAGCCCCGTTCCTTTCTTACAACTTGGTGCTGGCTGCGTAGGCGTCGTTCTTGAGTGACCAACAAGGCGCAAAACGAACGCATGAAAGATGGGAGCAAATTTAAAATGTGCCTATACTATATGTGTGTAAATGCTTTGACTGAAGTGCCGGCATCTAACCGCCTATACGCTCTTGAAGTAGATATGGCTGGACAAGCACAATGCTATAACTCAGGCACAACAAAGCACCCGAGAATGGGCCATGAATCATGGACAAGTGCAGCAACAAATAAATGAACTATGCGAGTCGTCCGATTTCGTAAAAATGCATTAAACGTAATCGGAGCACAAAACGACGCACACTGAAATAAATTGTTGCAGATTTTCATGAATTGTAACATTATATTTAAAAACACACAATTGAGTTGCATAACTTAAAACTGAAAATGACATTTTTTAAATTTAGCATAACCATTTATGGTTGTTTTTCAAATGAATACCCCAGTTGTCTTTGCATTAGATAATTATTTGGCACAGCACAAAGCTTCTTAACAATTTTTCAATTTAAAATATAAAGTAAATTCTTTAAATTTGGCTTAGTGTGCATGTTCTGCAAACATTTTTTATTTCCTCAGATATTTCTACTGCTTTTTTTGTTTACACAATTCAGACCTGCAAATATCCATTCAGGATATTGAATTCATGAAAGCCCTTTTTGCTGATTTGCAAGCGATTTTATTTTCCTTAGATATACTCACAAAAATTTGTTTTCACTACAAACTACTTATTGTATCACGTTTTATTCAGTTTTTTGCGTGAAATATATATACGCGTATATACTTCAGTGAGCGACTTTCTGACTGCGATCCGATGCGGTTGATGCCCAAAATAATTGCAACCAAAAAAATATGAAACTTGTGCAAGATATACATGTATTCATGTATGTATGTAGCTGTATGTTGGACCGACCTTAAATTTAAAGCCCGACAAAATGTCAATTTTTTACCAGCCAGCCATTGAAGCTGGCTATCGCTTGCGATTTATAAATCGATTTTTCTTTTTTGATACTTTCGGTTATAAATTACAAGGCGAAATGACATGTCGTCCTTCGTCAAAGTCGCTGCGGCACGCCTCGCCGCTGTTTTAGTAAATCGTCTGGAATTTACGCGCCGGCACTTCGAACGACACACCTCGTCCCCATGGGCGCATTGGGGGCGTTACATGACCATAACGCGTTGTAATAATAATTCAAATATGGCGAGCGACACATTAGTTCCGCCATTTTAAGCAGTCACCATAATTCGAGAAAATAAATTATGATTCATATGGAGGCTCAACAGGTTGCCCAGTCTGGCATTAAGTGGATTTTCCTGAGCTCCTACTGATTCGACCCACGCACAGCTGCTGGTAGCGGGACAGTTCATAAATGTCTCTGCCAAATTATTAAACGCGTATTTCATTTCATTTGAGCTCAACCGATGATTGATAGTCGCGGCCCGGCAGCAGTCTAAAGACACATCATCCATATAAGTAGACAAAACAGACTGCAAGCCACACATGAACCATAAAACGTTTCGGCAAATGTCCATGAAGCGAAAATAAATAATGGAACTGGTGGCTACACAAGCAGAATTTGATGAAATAATATAAAAATGCAACGCCCATCTTCTCCGCCTCCCACTCACGCACGGACGGACGGCAAAAAGAAAGAAAAAGTTCATTCAAATTGAAGGAGCGACCATAAAGCGCAGACAAAAGACATAAAGTAAATGAACCGCCGCACATAATGCAAAAATAGACGAACCTCGCGTATATCTATTTCTATTTCCATTTCCATTTATGTGGCATTGTCGCAGCTCTTCATTGCTACTTAAAATCTGAGTCGACATCACAATCAATTGTTACGTTGAATAGTGTTTTTCCTCTACGATAAATGAAAGCATTCTGACTGACAGGCAGTCAACAGAATTTAATCCAAGTTTCTGCTGGCTTCAACAAAAAGACAACCATTTCGACATAAGTACATAAATATGTGAATAGAAAAATATCGAATCTGACATTATGTGGAACTATAACAGACCGGCGAACAAACCAAATTATTAGAATACCAGAATTAAAATTAATTAACCAACGAAATTTATGAAGACTTGAAAATGCCAGCAGTGCAAGGCGCTTCTCTTGGAATTTGTAGTAATTAGTTTATTATATAAATATTTCACTCGACTTTTGTGGAGACAGGCAAACATATTTATATCCATAAATTTGCAATGACATAAAAATCAATTATAGATTTTATGTAAATTTTAATTAATTATGATTGTAACAATATTCACAACAGTACCGGAGCTGTTCCTGTGAAGTTTTATGGCGGTTGGAAAAATAGATTTTTTTTCCCCGATTTTTTCAAAAATACAATTTGCAGAAAAGTTTGAGAATTATGATATAATTTTTGCAAATCCTAAATGCAGTAGCCACGAAAAACTGTTGAATTTGTAGTAAATATATTAGTACCTATAATATAGTTTATAAGATCATCGAACAGTCTAAAAGATATGGAATTAAGTTGTTGAAAGGGGACATACCCTAAACGTATATCCCACCAATGTTCAAGTTCCGAGTGGCATAAGCCCAAACATAACTAAGGCACATATGAAATGCAAAATCATTGAATTTAAAAGAGATGTAATGCCCAGGAATACGGCTTACGATTCTATGTAGATTGGGTTCTATAATGTGAACCGTGTTTCGGATATTTGAATTGAAATGAATAGTAGAAGAAGATGTTTTGTTAAGACAAAACTTCTTATAAATATGTCCTCTATTCTATAAGAATATCTTAATATTTGCCGTAGACCTCTATGGATTGCACAGCTCTGTAATTATTGACAACTTAAAGGAGCACGTGTTCAATTTTTATATACAACAACTCATCAATTTTATTGTTAATACTCAAGACAACTTTTTTTTTTAATTATACCAAGAATCCGGCAAACGGAATTTGGAATAATGTTGTAATAGCAAGAGGCAAAACTGGGAGGCACTCATTCAAATATTACGCGGAAAATACAGCTTGAATGAGTCACGCTCACACACGTTTCAGTGCTCAGATTGATTGCTCGACAACAATTCCGTCACCTTGGATAACAAAAACAGGACCCCAGCACACAAGAAATCGGCTTTTTCATTTGCATATGCGAAATTTAATTGGCATAAAACTGTCGAATTGGAAAGGAGTTCGCTATTTTCGCGTGCACGCAGCGCGTCATTGAAAATGAAGACGACATCGCCTCAATTTGTAAAGTAAGTGCTGCGAACAGTCAAATAACAAGGCTATTATCAGCAATTATAATTGGAAAGCAAATACATATGTGTACACATATGGGAAACTCGTTTGCTGCTCCTCATTAGAATAAATTGCTAACGCCGTAAATTGGAAGCGAAAAGCGCTTCATAAATAATCATAATTGCTGTACTGTGGGTATAAAGCGCGGCATTCCATATTAGTGACGAAACGAGCCACTAACTGGTGTAGGAACTGAAAGGCTCTAGAAATGATGCATTACAAATTAGAGTTAATTCCAAAAAGCGAACAATAAGTATGTTCAACATATCTGCCAAATACGTTATTGGGGTAACCTTCTATCGAAGCCAAGATAGGATTTATTGCCGACTAAAAATAGCGATGACATAGAATCCTATATTTTTTATCGGCCATGGCAATTAATCCCTTAACTATAAGGAGCTGAAAGGTACACAATAGAATGACTTTATTACTTGTTTTGTTTAATATTGGTTTGAAATTAATCAATTTTTAATTACTTTCTAGTGCAACAAGTAGTGCTACTTACATACATGTTAAAGCACTAGTCATGAGTTAACTTAGTCGATAAACAGAGTTAAGATTTGTTTATGATTATTGTAAATATTATTATTTGAATATTAATATGTTTATAGTATATTTCTCTTGGCAATCTATAAAATATATTCTTGTGCTTTGCTCACTGCGCTGTATGAGTTAACTCCATATTTTCGTCACTAGGCCTGAAGGTACTTTTTTAAGCACGTAGATCCAAATGATTTCTTAAAATCGCTGAGGCATAGCAACAACAAATAAATAAATAGCAACCAACGGAATGTTAAGACATCCAGTCAAACATTTAATGTGATTTGTTTATTGAAGAGGAATTGATTGGGCCAACAATGCACGTATGTACAAGTATATACTCGTATGTGTAATCTTAATCGTAAGGCATGCGGGTAGTGGCCTTGAGAGTCGAATCAATGTACTTAAGCCCAAAGCCTTAATAACACAAATATGGTTTCTAGGACAGCAATAGGCCGAGTACACTAAAACGGTCTTTGGCCAAATAACTAGAAAACTGCGACCAGCATTAGCAAATACAAATACAGGCAAAATAAAGAAGCTTATAAATAAATATTAGACAGACACATACGGGACAACAACAAAAGTGTAAATTTGCCAGTTTTATGGTTTAAATGTCGCGTCATTACAATTTGCTGGAATCTATGAGCAGTGGGCCAAGCCATTTGCATTGTTTATAGACACATTAAAAGTTTCTCATATGAACAGCCGACGACGTGTCGGAATATATAGCCTTAAATAAAAAGAGAGGGCAATCAGACATATGTACGAGTACAACTGTGGCAGTTGTTAGAAATATTGACACCCACACGCGCCGACTATAAATCGTAGAGTGCTGAGCGCGTAATTTACTTTTTTACGAGTGCTGGCAACGAAAAATCGCATAAACAATAAAGATTTACTGAATCGAATGGACAAATGAATGGAGGCAGGCAGTACAGCATGACGAGGCAATATTTTGGCTAAGTGTCGTAAGAGTTGGAGCTGCAGTTTGATTTTGGAAATTGAGTTCAATTTCTCAAGCAGAAGATTCAGTTTTTAGAATCATATAAAACCAGCAGAAGCAGAAGGACAGAAAGCCGGACGGGTTCTTTTTTTTGCCTAATATTTTTGTAAGCCTTTTTTTTTATTTTTGAATATTTTATAATTAATGTTCTTTTACTTTTTATTTCTTCATCTCTGCCTGGATTTGCCTCAAAATAGAAACAAATTATTTTTCATTGTAATTTTTTTTAAGGCAGTTACATAAACATGCTTTTTCTGTTTGAAAAAATATTAGAATAAGTAACAGATATTCGTTAATAAATTCAACTTAAAGCCGGCATTTTCAAAAAGATTCTACTTTCCCAGATTTCAGTTGGTTTCTAATAAATAAAAAGTACATTTCTAAACTTGTAACAATTATTATGTAATGCATTGTTTAGCCTGATTATTTCATAAGGCTTCCGGCATAATCCTCTTCGCGGATAAAGTCAAGGTCATTTGTCACTTCCATTTCCGGTAACAGATCGCTTTTGGGCAGTGGTTTAAAATGTATTGGACAGGGTCTGATGAACATTTGTGCCTTATCGCGTATCCATTTGGTGGCGACTGAAAAAGGGGGAATACATAAGGCAACAGTAATTTAGGAAACGCCGCCTTCTTACTCCATTTATCGCCGAAAATAATGGGACAGGACACGTGTAGGGTTCTTTCATCGGCTTGACTATTTAGCTGGAGATTATAGAAAACCATTACGGAGCCCTTTCGCGGTACTACGGTTATATTAAGTAAAGGAAACACCGTTTCGCCACCCTGTTCTACATCGGTCAACTGTTTTGCAAAAGAAAGAATGGCATTTAGCAATACCTTTGTAGAATTCATATGTTCTTACATAGGCTAAGGCAGTGGCCGTACGATCGCCCGTCTCCCACTCTCCTTCCGAACTCCTCTTGGACGCGTCAATGTGTTCGTGTATATGCCCACTCATGCCGTAATTAATGATCTGTAACTTTTCCGAGTCGGTTAAAAGCAAGCCGGTGACATGAGATACACGTTGGTTCAAGGCCTCAGTCACTTCGTGGACATGATCGTCCAGTCGCGCTGTCTTGCAGGTGCGTTGGCCGTAGTAGTCCATTGCATATAAGTTTGTCTTAAAGTCGAAAAATTCGGCTCGGTGTAATAATGGCCGCGACAAATTCTTTAATGTAGAAGCTTCAACGTCACTCAACAATCCATGGTAGTAGGTAATAGATGGGTCCTGAGATAGCACCTCCATTTTAATGGGCGCCAGCTTAAGAAACGGAGTCGATCGCAGGTAATGGCAAGAAACACCTTTAACGATCGGTGGATATGGCCTGTTGCAGAATTTCTTGTACAATTTGTTGCTGTTTCTTTCTACATTCGGCACAAGTGGCAGCTGACTTAGCTCCTTCAGTTGCTCCACTTGACGCTTCATATAGTCGTCATTGGGTTTTCTGGCCAAGGTTCTATTCGCATAGATATATGCGGCTTTGTAGCGACCTTTTAACACTCGTTCTATTAGCAAGAATTCTTAGCTATTTCCTATTACCCACTTACCAGAGATCCTAGTTGCTTCAACCAGTATTTCCAATATGGCAACAAAGGTCCAGTCCATAATTTTAATTAACTTGGCATTCGAGTGTTTGTACAATTTAAGGGCCAGCTTTAACCAATCTATTGCGTATGTGTAGCGTTCCTTGTAGAAGTAAAACAGGCCCAGCATACTGCATTCAATAACGCCCCACTTGTCGTGACTGAAAGAAAGTTTAATATTTAAAAATGATATGTAAATATAGGAGCACACCCATATAGCCACCTGTAATATTTTCCCTTCAGTATTCCGGCTACCATGTCCTTGGCTTTTAGCTTGTATGTCGTCTGCAGCCGATATATAGCCAGTAGGGCCTCAGATAAGTCCGTTTCTGTGGGCAACAATGGGTGTAGACTCTGTGCCGAGGCAATTTGCTTTGCACCTAGCTTTTTGGCCATCAGTTTTAACCACTTCGGCCAGTCCTGATGCATGTGACGTGTCAATCTATATTGGTAGAACACGTTGCTGGTATATGAGTCGGACTGGGTTTTGGAATGGCTGCGTAATTTTTTCATCTGCTGCAAAGCACTGTACAGTGATATTTTAGATTATAAAGATTGATAAAAATGCTTTCAAGCTCACTTTTTGACATTTTTTAACTGATCTCTTAATGCAGAGGCGTAGCTCTTCAAATTCCCAACAGATTTTTCCTTCAACTCCAGGAGAGGCGGCATGGAAGTTAATGCAATGGCAAAGTCATGTGATACTGGGCGTTCGTCGGCATTAAGTGCCACACCCATTAATACGATCAAAAGGCATGACCGGATCATAATGACGGCTAACAGAAACTGGGCTACGTTCTCGGAGCAACTATACTAATGCACCGTGTCTAATAAGTTTACTAGAAACATTTCAAATGCTGATAAGTATGTTTAAAATAATGCCTTCTGTTTTTCAAAAACCTACAAAATGTGTCACCTACTACATTACCTCAATATTTTAGGTTTATTGCATATTAATGGAGCTATAGCAGACGAGGCTTGGGACTATGCCATGTCCGTGGCTGGCATGAAACCTTTATTGGAAATGGAGACTGTACTCATAGCAGAGCTTGCAAAGTATGGCAATTCTTTGAAACAGAAAATCGACACTATTGAGAGGTGAGCAGACTATTGAAGAAGGCAGGACTCCAAGTTCAGTTGCTTTCCAGCTTCCTATCTGAGACACGTTCCAAGCAAGCACAATGGCAAAAGGATCGAGAGCAATATGTGTCAAATCCTTTGAACGGCTTTGCGCTTATTCGACGACTCCATGAAGATTGGTCTTTTATGGAGTTGTTTATGAAGACACCGCTAGGAAGTTCTGAACAGCAGACAATGAATGAAGTGCTAGAAGACGCGCCTACCATAGACGATATGCATGATGCCCTAACATCGATGCAACGCATACAAGAGTCTTACGATTTAAAAGCAAGTGATATGGCTAATGGAGTGCTAGGTGGGGTGCAGTCACAGTGAGTAGCCCGAACAACGATGCAGTTCAACTCTTTAAGTTCCACAACTTGGTGATCAGATTTCAGCTCAATGCATTAGATTGCTGGATGATCGGTAGCTTTTGGTATGCGCACAATAAATATTATCAGAGCAGCAAATGGCTAGAGATGGCTATCGAACAATTCATCATAACAAGAGATATTGAACCTTACGAACGGATCTATGACCTAAATGAAGCACTCTTATACAAAAATTATGCAAGAACACTTATAAAACGAGGTAAATTTGATACTTTTTCTACGCAAATTCGAATATAACCTTTGATAGGTATTACGTAATGAGGTAGTTTTGATTGGAGAACTATTTATTACTTGGTAAAAAGTTGTTATCAAAATTCTAAGACGATCTAAACTCAACTGGATCAATAAGGACAACATATATTCAAAGCCCCTTACAAATTTAACTGTTCCCATAAATATAGTTGATTAAATTAATACTTCTCAATAGACAAGCTGCACACAATATCTTCACAAACAGTAAGCAGGTAGATGTTTAATATATGAAACAATTTTTTAAACAATCTTCTTCATCATCAATTTAAATACCATATCTTCTTTAATACAAATATGTTTAAGAATACTTCAGAGTTCATAAAAATGACTCATTTTATCAGCAGAGAAGCCTTATTACAGAAACATACTATAATGCACCCGTACTCTTTATACTCTACAAGAAAATAACTCATTGTCCTTGCAGGCCAAAGCAGGACCGCTCTGAACGCCATTCAAAAAGTAGCCGATTCGAACGTGGATCTTTGGCTTTTGCGCCGTGAATTGGAGGAGTCCGATTCTGTTTATGACTTCGAGTCTAGGGTTTGTGAAATGAGACACAAGAATTATACACTATTTTGCTAATACTACTTGATATTTAAAGTATGTCAAATCACCTGCAACAATTATCGAAAAAGGATGCCGTGGTCAGCTCCCGCTCAATCCGAAACTTAAGTGCCACTATCAGACTAGTACGAATTTCTTTTTAAAACTGGCTCCTTTTAAAGTTGAAATGCTTAGTCTTGATCCATACGTGGCTTTCTACCACGATGTTATTTACGATAGTGAAATCGCCCACTTTAAAGCGCTGCATCCATCGTCGCTTAGAAGTGCGGATCCGTTCCGCCAAAGTGGTGGGAATACAGACCAGACACTGAAATACGCCTGGGTTGAGGATGTGAATACACTAAATGTGCGGATTGGAGACATGACTGGTCTTGACGTGGAACACGATACTGGATTACGAGTGTCTAACTACGGTTTAGGTGGCCACTTCGGCTTAAAGGCTGACAATTTGCCGGAAAATGAAATCGAGGTAAATGGGATAGCCGAGAGTGAAAATCTTTTATATTTTCAAGCTTTTACAGAAAGCCTTGGGAGATCGCCTGACTACTACAACGTTTTTTGTAAGTTCCGAACTAGATAATTTATTTCGTTCATCTAAAACATTCAATTTCCAGCTGACTGACGTGCAGCAAGGTGGTGCGATAGTTATTCCCCACATACCTACATCCATATTTCCCAAAAGAGGAAGTTCTGTGGTCTGGCATAACCTGGACAACGCGTTAAACCGGCAAAAAGGAATTGAGCATGTCTCCTGTCCGGTATTGGTGGGCTCCAAATGGAGTAAATTGGCCCTACATAATGCAGCATGGGTTATAAGCTGAATTTTCTTTTTCTCGCAGCACTCAATAAATGGTTATACGGACGGCCCCAAGTGTTTAAAAAACCCTGCGTCGAATGCCATCACCAACGAGGGCAAAATGTTATCCAACAATGTTTGAATAAATTGATTTAAGTTTCCGGTTAATATCATTTAAAGCGTTAAGAACTTATTATACAAATTGGCGTGCTATTGTTGCAATCTAGATTCTGTGACAGTCTTCAAACAAATATTAAAAATGAAGTTGTTGCTTTTTAGTTTATTTCTTTGTATTATTGGAGCTATCGAAGAGGACGACCCATGGATGGAGATACCCTTTCTCGAAGATTTTGATGAACGGTACAGCTCATCTGTCGTAGGACTTTTAAAGCTATTGGAAATTGAAAGAGCGTATATGCAAGCTATAGATAGATATGCCAGTGTCTTACAGCAAAAAGTATACGTGCTACAATCGTAAGTGAAACGATCACATGAAGGATAAGAATAACTGCAAACTATCGCTTTCCAATAGATATATTTGGTCATTAGGGGTCAGAAAGCATGAAGACTTTCGTGAACGTGAGCGATTTGTGTCCAATCCCCTGAACGCTTTTGCGCTCATCAGACGTCTACACCAGGATTGGCCCGCATGGCAAAAATATATCAACTTTACATTTGGAAAAGGTATCTATACGAAGTATGTATTAAGAAGTTATGATAACATTACAATTATCAAAATCAGCTGAAATGCAAGTAATGGAGAATCTGCTGAGCAAAGCACCCACTGCGTCTGATATGACCGAGGCACTAATGGGTATGCACCGAATAGAAAAAACGTACGATCTAGAACCTAACGATATAGCCAATGGGCGTCTACAGGGGAAACAGTATAAGTAAGTGACTGATCAGTTAATTGATATTTGCAAAAACTCAACGTCTGTTAAAGTATTCAGCTTTCTAAACGCGATTGTCTAACCCTGGCCGATCATAAACTAGAGAAAGGCGACTACAGTAGTGCCATTAAGTGGTTTCGAATTGCAATGCAAGAGAAGTGCCAGCTGCATGGACAGAGATTTGATGAGATACTAGACCCAAAAAAGGAGCAAGTAGAAACACGTTACCTAAAAGCCATAATTAAATATAGTAAGTGTGTTATAGGGTGAATCTTTATGTACTTATCTCAGTCTAGCATCTCTTTCAGACCTCAGCGCAAGTGATAATAGTTTTAATGCCAGTCAACTAGACGAAGCTGTGGAGACAGTGTTGAACAACACAAGTACCGCCAATTTGAAGAGCTTGGCACAGAAAGCCAGCGAAATAGTCGAGTTAAAATCCGAACCCTCAACAAATGATATAGGCTGTCGTGGACTTTTTCCTCAGTACAACAAACTAAGCTGTCGGTACAACTTCACTACAACGCCGTTCCTTAGGCTAGCTCCGCTTAAAATGGAAGAAATTAGCATCAATCCTTATATTGTCATGTATCACAATATTGCCACCGACGAGGAGATAGAAGATCTGCATCAAAAAGCAGTACCCAAGATGAGCAACGGATATGCCGGCATTGTCAAGAAAAATCAAACGGAGCCTCGAGAAATTGTTTCACGCGTTAGTTGGATTGTAGACGAACTGTCATCAAGAAGACGCATAAACCAGCGAATTGTGGACGCGACAGGCTTGGATATAGTTGGGGTCCAGGCAATACAAGTAGCCAATTATGGTTTAGGTGGATACTTTAAAGGACACTACGACTATCTGTCAGATGACCAGATACAAGACAAAGAGATTACGGAAATGGGAGATCGGTTAGCTAGCATAGTTATCTACGTAAGTCATGTCTTCCGATTAGGGCTTCAATATAAAATACTCGTAAGATCGAATTGCAGACTGGAGACGTAGAACAAGGTGGAGCAACGATGTTTCCAATCAGTCGGGTCACCGTCTTTCCTCAAAAGGGCAATGCTTTATTTTGGTTCAACCTAAATAACGATGGCACTAGAGACCCGCGATCGTTACATTCCGTGTGCCCAGTTATTGTGGGCAGCAGGTGGAGTAAGTACAAATATTTCAATCACTTAAAACTATTACGAATTAAATGTCTAAATATCTTACAGCGATAACCAAATGGCTTCACGAGAAAGCACAGGTTTTCAGAAAGCCCTGCCCAAGGCAATTCGTCTGAATTGGAGGTCTACTTGATTTTACAGAAAATATGTGAAACAAATCAATTGGTTAAGGTTGTCAACAAGTGTTGTGTGACTTGATATTTTGTTGCAAAGTATATTTGATTATCCAACTGATATGACGGGCTGGCTTTTTTCTTTAATTACGAGTGTCTTCATTTTACTCATTCAGGACACTCTTTTAGTGTCTGCTTACGAAATGAAGGAGAATGACACAAAGCCAATTCTATACAGCACATCAGTGGTGAGTCTGATGGAACTGGCACAAATCGAGAATGAGTACGTAGATCATTTAAGGGGTTATGTAGACGAGCTACAAAGAAAGGTGGACTACATAAAGCAGTAAGTGGAATGTTGTCACATCGCGAGGCTTGCTAACTACTTTTTTTAAGATATAGTCAAATAGGGAAGCATCCAGAGCTTGAAACTGAACAGCAACGAACGCAATTCGTCGCCAACCCATTAAATGCTTTCGGACTCGTACGCCGTGCACATGAAGACTGGAGCAAGGTGCTGGATTTCATAAAAATGGTGGAGAATCCAGGTAGTAGTCGAGCAAACAGAACTTTCAAAGCAATAAACAGCAATACTATATATCTGATCTGACAATAGCCCAATTTGAGGAAATGGATCGTCTGATGGCAAAAGCACCAACTGAAGAGGATATGAATGAAGCGTTAAGAGGGATGGCTAAGATACACGAAATATACGATTTAGAACCTGCGGACATTGCCAAGGGTTTGCTGGATGGAAGACAATATATGTGAGTGAGATCTTTAGAACTCTCTAAATCGCTATATAACTTATTAAAATTGTGAAACTTCAGGGCTCAGATGCCTACGCCAGACCGCGTATTGCTGGCCGACTATTTATACAACAAAACCGATTACAGAAGAGCCGCTCAATGGTACAAAACCGCATTGCAAAATGAAACAGCCGAATCTCAGAGAGAAGAAATACGTAAGAAATATATTATATCCAGGCTTAAGGATGGACGCTCCGATGAAGTAGAGAAATATCTAGCTGAGCTCTCACAAAGTCATGAAGAGTCGCTACCTACAATACATAAACCAACTTCAACTCAGCTAGGCTGCCGTGGCCTCTACCCGGCTCGGACCAATTTATCGTGTCACTATAACTTCAAGACTACGCCCTTTCTACGATTGGCACCAATTAAAACGGAGATTTTAAATCTAGAACCACTCATCGTGCTACATCATGACGTTCTTTACGATCGCGAAGTAGCATTCGCAAAGAATGTAACAATGCATGATATGATTGATGGTATATCTGGCTCAAATAATAATATAATTATTTCGAAATTTAAACAACTCGATGTGACTGGCACCATTAAAATCGATAGACGTATTGCAGATATGACAGGATTAAGCTTGACCGATTCTTCCCCTATACTAGTATTTAATTACGGACTTGGTGGGCACTTTCATGAACATTTTGACTATGTAGATGAAGACTGGGATGCTGATATAGATGAATTCTTGGCATCTTATGGAAATCGTTTTGCTACAGTTGTTTATTTTGTGAGTATATGTTTATTCAGAAATCGCATGCTATTATATATTTTCAAATTTTGCAGGCCAGTAATGTAACGCAAGGTGGCACTCTCGTCTTTCCAAGACTCCAAATAGCTGTGCGACCAGAAAGAGGAGCTGCTTTAGTTTGGCACAATTTAAATAACGCTTGTGAGCCAGAACCTTTAACAGAGCACTCAGTCTGCCCAGTGATTGTGGGCTCGAGATGGGGTGAGCAAAACCTCTAGTTCCACTGATTAAATATAACTAATACATAAATATTTATTTTTTCTATTTACAGTACTTACCAAATTTTTGTTTGAGAAAGTCCAAATGTTTACGAAACCCTGCTATAAATTGTGATGGAATGGATGTCGACAATAAGAAACTTATACTTAAATTTTTGAATTGGCATATTAAACTAACTATACATTATGTAATAATGACAGGCCCTTATTTAATGTCATTTTAATTTTAAATTAAAACTAATACGAATTAAATGTCTAAATATCTTACAGCGCTAACATAATGTCTTCACGAGAAACCACAGATTTTCAGGAAGCCCTCCCAAGGCAATTCTTGTAAATTGAAGATCCACTTGATTTAACAGAAAATATGTGAAACAAATCAATTGGTTAAGGTTGTCAACAAGTGTTGTGTGACTTGATATTTTGTTGCAAAGTATATTTGATTATCCAACTGATATGACGGGCTGGCTTTTTTTTTTAATTACGAGTGTCTTCATTTTACTCATTCAGGACACTCTTTTAGTGTCTGCTTACGAAATGAAGCAGAATGACACAAAACCAATTCTATACAGCACATCAGTGGTGAGTCTGATGGAGCTGGCACAAATCGAGAATGAGTACGTAGATCATTTAAGGGGTTATGTAGACGAGCTACAAAGAAAGGTGGACTACATAAAGCAGTAAGTGGAATGTAGTTACATATATCGTGGGGCTAGCTAACTACTTTTTGTAAGATATAGTCAAATAGGGAAGCATCCAGAGCTTGAAACTGAACAACAACGAACGCAATTCGTCGCCAACCCATTAAATGCTTTCGGACTCGTACGCCGTGCACATGAAGACTGGAGCAAGGTGTTGGATTTCATAAAAATGGTGGAGAATCCAGGTAGTAATCGAGCAAACAGAACTTTCAAAGCAATAAACAGCAATACTATATATCTGATCTGACAACAGCCCAATTTGAGGAAATGGATCGTCTGATGGCAAAAGCACCAACTGAAGAGGATATGAATGAAGCGTTAAGAGGGATGGCTAAGATACACGAAATATACGATTTAGAACCTGCGGACATTGCCAAGGGTTTGCTGGATGGAAGACAATATATGTGAGTGAGATCTTTAGAACTCACTAAATCGCTATATAACTTATTAAAATTGTAAAACTTCAGGGCTCAGATGCCTACGCCAGACCGCGTATTGCTGGCCGACTATATATACAACAAGACCGATTACAGAAGAGCCGCTCAATGGTACAAAACCGCATTGCAAAATGAAACAGCCGATGCTCAGAGGGAAGAAATACGTAAGAAATATATCATATCCAGACTTAAAGGTGGCAGCTCCGATGAAGTAGAGAAATATCTAGCTGAGCTCTCACAAAGTCATGAAGAGTCGCTTCCTACAATAGATAAACCAACTTCAACTCAGCTAGGCTGTCGTGGCCTCTATCCAGCCCGCACCAATTTATCGTGCCACTATAACTTCGAAACCACGCCCTTTCTACGATTAGCACCAATAAAAACGGAGACATTAAATCTAGAACCACTCATCGTGCTACATCACGACGTTCTTTACGATCGCGAAGTAGCATTCGTAAAGAATGTAACCATGCATGATATGACGGATAGTATATTTGGCTCAAATAATAATATAATTATTTCGAAAATCAAAGAACTCGATGTGAATGGCACCATTAAAATCGATAGACGGATTGTAGATATGACAGGATTGAGTTTGAAGAACTCTACCACTATACAAGTAATGAATTACGGACTTGGTGGGCACTTTCGAGAACATGTTGACTATATAGGCGAAGACTGGAATGATGACAAAAATGAATTCTTGGCATCTTATGGAAATCGGTTTGCTACAGTTCTCTTTTTTGTGAGTATACATACTCATGTATGCCTATTCAGAAATCGAATAATACTATGTCAAATTTTTCAGGTCAGTAATGTGACACAAGGTGGCACTCTCGTCTTTCCAAGACTCCAAATAGCTGTGCGACCAGAAAGAGGAGCTGCTTTAGTTTGGCACAATTTAAATAATGCTTGTGAGCCTGATCCTTTAACAGAGCACTCAGTCTGCCCAGTGATTGTGGGCTCGAGATGGGGTGAGCACATCATTTCGTTAAACTAATGTAATATTACTAAAAATATTCATTTATTTTTTTATTAACAGTACTTACTAAAGTTTTGTTTGAGAAAGTGCAAATGTTTACAAAACCCTGCCATAAATTATAAAAAACTATAATGCGAATAATAATCATAATTCATTTCTGTTTCTTTGGATATGGAATAGATTTTGTATCGCTACAAATTAACGAAAGACGTCGACTATAAAATATACATACATAAATTTATGCATTTGCATGTTTAACTATCGATAAATAATGTAATTCTGTGAGGGTCTTATTTAATATTTAATAATAGTAGCAAGTCTTGCTCGTCTTTGACGGGCTAAGTATTTTTGTGTGCAGTTATAAGCTTATTTACAGCAAACAAACGAAAGGTATAACTTAACAATTTTTTGTACATATGCCGCCTGGGGATCACAATCGTTTGATCGGAAGTCTTTTAGCGGGTACATAATAAAGTTCGCCGGAGCACCTGTGGCATGGTAGGCAAAAAAGCAAGGGGGGGTGGCTCTTAGTTCAATGGAGACTGAATCCTTTGCTATGTGTCAAGGAATCAAAGAGATTCCGAAATGGGGTTTTCGAAGTATCTCGAGGCAGTAACTAAATTGCGATCTGACAATCAAGCGGCAATTGTGTTCGTCAGAAATACAATGGTACATAAGCGAAGCAAACATAATGACATTCGGCTCCACTACATCTGAGAGAAGCATGAAAACATAGCGCACGTCTTCACTAAACCCCTATTCAAAGGAGAAACATAGACTTTGCTGTAAATTAATGAATTTAAACTTGTAAATTATTATTTCATTTATACATCCAAGTTAAGTCGGAGTTTGTTAGAAGCTTGTCATGTTTGGGTTACTAGCTCGTAAGTCATGCTTACTTCACTGTATTAAAGCCACTCAAACAGATAAGACTCTTTATGTTCTGCCTTGGAATTTGGGAGCCACGTGGATCTTCCACATAACTACATATATAAAACTCTCTAACAAAACTAATAGAAATTAATGTCTAAACTACGTGGAACAAATCAATAAGTTCAGGTTGTCAACAAGTGTTGTGTGACTTGATATTTTGTTGCAAAGTATATTTGATTAACCAACTGGTCTGATGTGCTGGGCTTTTCCTTTATTTACGAGTGTCTTCGTTTTACTCATTCAGGACATTCTTTTAGTGTCTGCTGAGGAAATGAAGCAGAATGACACAAAACCAATTCTATATAGCACATCAGTGGTGAGTCTGATGGAGCTGGCACAAATCGAGAATGAGTACGTAGATCATTTAAGGGGTTATGTAGACGAGCTACAAAGAAAGGTGGACTACATAAAGGAGTAAGTGGAATGTTGTCACATCGCGAGGCTTGCAAACTACTTTTTTTAAGATATAGTCAAATAGGGAAGCATCCAGAGCTTGAAAATGAACAGCAACGAACGCAATTCGTCGCCAACCCATTAAATGCTTTCGGACTCGTACGCCGTGCACATGAAGACTGGAGCAAGGTGTTGGATTTCATAAAAATGGTGGAGAATCCAGGTAGTAGTCGAGCAAACAGAACTTCCAAAGCAATAAACAGCAATACTATATATCTGATCTGACAATAGCCCAATTTGAGGAAATGGATCGTCTGATGGCAAAAGCACCAACTGAAGAGGATATGAATGAAGCGTTAAGAGGGATGGCTAAGATACACGAAATATACGATTTAGAACCTGCGGACATTGCCAAGGGTTTGCTGGATGGAAGACAATATATGTGAGTGAGATCTTTAGAACTCACTAAATCGCTATATAACTTATTAAAATTGTAAAACTTCAGGGCTCAGATGCCTACGCCAGACCGCGTATTGCTGGCCGACTATATATACAACAAGACCGATTACAGAAGAGCCGCTCAATGGTACAAAACCGCATTGCAAAATGAAACAGCCGATGCTCAGAGGGAAGAAATACGTAAGAAATATATTATATCCAGGCTTAAGGATGGACGCTCCGATGAAGTAGAGAAATATCTAGCTGAGCTCTCACAAAGTCGTGAAGAGTCGCTATCTACAATAGATAAACCAACTTCAACTCAGCTAGGCTGTCGTGGCCTCTATCCAGCGCGCACCAATTTATCGTGTCACTATAACTTCGAGACTACGCCCTTTCTACGATTAGCACCAATTAAAACGGAGATTTTAAATCTAGAACCACTCATCGTGCTACATCACGACGTTCTTTACGATCGCGAAGTAGCATTCGCAAAGAATGTAACAATGCATGATATGATGGATGGCGTATCTGGCTCTAATAATAATATAATTATTTCGAAAATCAAAGAACTCGATGTGAATGGCACCATTGAAATCAATAGACGTATTGCCGATATGACAGGATTAAGTTTGAAGGGCTCTTCCCCTGTACAAGTATTTAATTATGGACTTGGTGGGCACTTTCGAGAACATTTTGACTTTGTAGGCGAAGACCGGGATGACGAAATAAATAAGTTCTTGGTATCTGATGGAAATCGTTTTGCTACAATTCTCTTTTTTGTGAGTATACACATTTATACACATCTCGAATAATATTAATTATTTTCAAATTTTGCAGGCAAGTAATGTAGCACAAGGTGGCACTCTCGTCTTTCCAAGACTCCAAATAGCAGTGCGACCAGAAAGAGGTGCGGCTTTAGTTTGGCACAATTTAAATAATGCTTGTGAGCCTGAACCTTTAACAGAGCACTCAGTCTGCCCAGTGATTGTGGGCTCGAGATGGGGTAAGCAAATCATTTAGTTCTACTAATTGAATATTACTTATGTATATTGTTTTTTATTAACAGTACTTACCAAATTTTTGTTTGAGAAAGCGCAAATGTTTACGAAACCCTGCTATAAATTGTGAGAGCACTATAATGCAAATATTAATCATAACTCATTTCTTTTTGAGCATGGATGAGAAGCGAAACACGACAACAATAAGAAATGCATACTTAAACTTTTGCACTTGCCTGTAAAACTCATTATTCCTTAAAATGGTGTAATAATGTGCTATTGTGTGCTATAGTGAGGACCTTACCTCTCACAAATTTTTTAATGTATTGTAGCGCGAGCACCCTTTGGCCGAACGGTAACCGGCGCCATAAATATTTTTCAATGCACAACGGCGAACAAAATAGACAGACTGCCCGAATCCTGAAGGATTTTAATAACACGCAAACGTAAGTTAGCTGCGGTTGAAGCCTTGAAGTTGGCTGCGGCAGCGCGGATCTTGCACAAGCAGCTGTTTGTGGTGGGCGCATGTGAGTATATCGATTATCACAAATCGATAAGTGGGCGCCAACATCGGGATTCGAACTATGTATGCACTACTAATATGCATTACAGTATAATAATGTTTAGTGCTGCTAATTCACTTGTTTTAATGATACGTCATCTACAAATTTGAATAGAATAGCCAAGTAATATCAACAGAATAATCTGGATAGGCTACTAATATTTGTATTCCGAAACGAACGATGTGTCGACATGCACGATCTCCTGGTCCGAAGCAAATCGTTGCAGAACAGAACGATATGCATTAACTGTAAGGCTAATTTTAATTTTCCAATTAGCTAAATTGGAAAAGACCTTATGATAGAACTCTTTGATAGTTCGAGTCAGTACTCACAGCCCACAAGATGATTCCACGAATCATCTTATTTGCATGTTTGCACCTGCTTACCTATTTCACAGGTGCGCAATGCTCTAAAGGTATGAATGGCAATAATACAATGATCTATGCCACATCTGTGGCAACATTGACCATGTTGAAAGAAATTGAGGACTCATATATAGGCAACTTAACTGAATACACGAAGTTACTCAAACAGAAGGTGACTATTTTAGAGAAGTAAGTATTTGAAGAACTTGGCAAGAAACTTTACATTTTTATCGACCATTTGTACAGATATCTAGAAAAACTAAATCCTGAAATTAGAACGAGCCACGAAGAGCGAATAAAATATACTTCGAATTCTATTAAAGCTTTTGGCCTCGTAAGACGGTTACATAATGATTGGCCAAAGTGGCATAACTACACAAAGGCAGAAGTCGCCAAAGGTATTATAAAGTGTTGAAAGGTTTAAAGGTTAACGTGGACTCAATCGATGATAACGCCAATTCCGCAGATCAAGTGAAAGTAATGGAAGAACTTCTTCTTGCCGCTCCTCAGTCAGAAGATATGCGAGAGGCATTCAAGGGTATATTTCGAATAGAGCACAACTACGACCTAGAAGCTGCCGACATAGCTGATGGCATGCTTTGGGGAAAGCAATATGAGTAAGTGTTGTAACCACTAATAAGTTTTCTGCTTTACTTAAAAGCGTTCTTGCCAAGATTAGTAGCTAGTAACTCAGTATCGCCATATCGATATTATGAGGTTTTTCAGATTGCTGTTATACTTGTATGTTGAAATTTTAAGACGTGTCTATCTTTAAATCTGATGCTAATGTCCTGGCGATATTTTTGAAAACCAATTCCATTGCCAGTTCAACTGGAAAATCTATATTGATTAGTCCTTTGTTTTTCGATTTCAAACGTTTTCGATAGCCTTCTTGGTCAATAATTTATCCTCTAAAATATTTAATTTTCTGCAGTGCAAAGCTATCCACATCGGACTGTTTAGCCATAGCCGAATATATGTACAATAAGTCCGAGTATATAAGTGCAGCCAAATGGTATCGAGTGGCCCTAAGCCACCATATTCAGTTTGATGATGACATATTCAGGAATATATATGGTTCTCAACGTGAAGACATACGGAAAAACTACATCATTTCAAGATTAAAAGCAGGTAATCCAATGAGACTGTTTTTAGCAACAGAGACTAACTATTCACGTATGCTAAAGGAAAAGCGGATGATGTACAACTATATCTGAAAGAACTTTCGCATGACCCCAAAACACAATTGGAAAATACAGCGAAGCCAACACCTTCGATTTCTCAGCTGGGCTGTCGTGGACTTTATCCCCCACGGACCAATTTGTCGTGTCGGTACAACTTTACCAATACTCCCTATTCACGTTTGGCGCCATTAAAAATGGAGATAGTCAACGAGAACCCGTTTATAGTGCTATACCATGACATTCTTTACGAGCACGAAATTAACTCTTTGACGAATCAGTCTATAACTACAGATGGTTGGACGGACGACGCAGAACCGGAACTGGAGGTGGAACGCATCTGTAAAGTATCAACGGTGCAAGATAGAAAGATAGGTAGACGGGTTGAACAAATGTCTGGTTTAAACGTTGATCTGGACAACTACATGCAACTCAGCAATTATGGTCTGGGGGGACACTTTAGAAACCACTTCGATTATGTTGATCTCAAGGGGCACTCTATAATAGTTCCCCTTATGGCGAAATATCATGGCGATCGCTTTGCGACAGTATTGTTCTATGTAAGTATATTTTACTGTCACAATAGATCTGGGATTTTAAGTTAACTTAATATAATAATTATAATAATTATTATCTTTTCGCAGCTCAGTAATGTAGAACTAGGAGGAGCCACTATATTTCCGAGACTCAACTTAACTATATGGCCCCAGAGAGGTGCTGCCTTATTATGGTATAATTTGGACAATAGCGTAGAGCCTGAAAAACTTTCAGAGCATGCTGTTTGTCCGGTAATTGTGGGTAGCAGATGGGGTAGGTCCAAAAGAGTTATTTTGTCATTGAAATATTGCAAAACATATCAATATTGCAGTTCTGGCTGAGTTCATAGTGCAATACAAGCAAACGTTCAAAAGACCCTGCTATAAATAAATTATATTGACGTCAGCGGAACAAATCAGCCATGCTAATTGGAGCTGTACAAAAGTTCGCATTGTAGCGTTACTTGTACTTTTGAACAGTTTAGTGGAGCTTACTGAAATAAAACGTACCTCGAAATGGTATTACCACTTTTTATTTTAAGCCAAGTTTTGCTTTTTGGCATGAATATTGGAGTAATTGGAGGTCAGGAGGAAGTCATATACTCCACGTCTATATTGGGCTTGGCCGAGTTAAAAAAGGTTGAGGAATTGTATATAGCGAGGTTGGTTAACTATACGGATGCACTGCAAAAAAAGGTAGAGGCGCTGAAAACGTAAGTAATGGGAATATGTTTAAGTGCAAGGCATTGCAAGGTTGTTCTAAAAATCTTCAGATTTATTGAAACCGTAAACCAAACTAAATTCGAAACGGTAGAAGAGCGTATGAAGTTTGTTTCAAATCCATTGAATGCTTTTGGACTTGTTCGACGAGTGCATGTTGATTTGCAAAAGATCCAAAAGTACATCAAAAAGAGGGCCTCTAAAGGTAGAGTATACTTGTACATACGTTAGAAAAAATGTCTTTTAAAACCGTGGTAGCTCTAGGAAACTCGCCATCAATAATGAACTTAAAAAAAAATAATTTCAAAGAGAAAAACATACAATAATTAAATAAAATATAAACATACATAGATTTTATATATAAAAGAACAAGCAAAACATTTAAAATAATACGTTCTTCCTCAAAATATTAAGAATAGCTAGAGATAGAAAATAGATAAAGACAGATGATTTATATATCTCTTATATAAAGTAACAGTTTTGAATGGTGTTTTTTGAACAGTTGAATTGGCTTTTTTCCTTTTATTATAACAATATTCAAACCCAAGATCTTAGGGAAATGGAAAACCTATTAGCTAAAGCACCCTCTGATGACGATATGAACGAGGCGTTAAAAGGCATGCATCGCATACAGAAGATATACGATCTGCAGGCTACAGATTTATTCAAAGGATTGCTTTCGGGCGTACAATACAAGTGAGTTTTGATCTACTTAATAAAATATGAAAAACATCCCTGTAACTATACTATGCAGTGCCCGATTATCTTCGTACGATTGCTTAGCTATAGCCGACTATATATTCAACAAAACGGAGTACACTAGGGCCGCTGAATGGTATAAGGTGGGGCTCTATTATTTCAAGCCAATTGTCAACAGGATACTGAAGCAAATATTTAACATTGACCATCTGGATACTCGCAAAAAGTATCTGCTGTGCCGATTGAAAATAAGTTAGTTGGCCATTTTCAAACAGTTCTTTGCCGATTTTTATACCCTGTACCCGTAGGGTACAGCATGATGAGAGAAATCGATCTAGACATGTCCGTCCGTCTGTCCGTCCGTCTGGATGAACGCAAGGATCTCAGAAACTATAAGAGCTAGAATAGCCAAAGTTGGCATCCAGATTCTCCTAGGTCCGAGAAAGGACGAGTTTATTTTATTTTTTTTAATTTTCTCCCCCTTCTTCCGCTACAGAATTTTGTCAATAGCGTCCACATTTCAAATGCTACCTAAACCAAACGGTGCACACATAATTTATATATAATTGTCTACTGTTGTTTAAATTTTTTTAATTTTATCCAATTCGGTCAATTCTAAGAAAAGTTATTAGCGAAAAAATTTCTCTACAGTACCAACCCCCCAAGCTGCAGCAACAAGTTCGCTCTTCTTCTTCCTCTTTTTGGGCTCATATAACTCAGTAACGGAAGTTTACCTGGGTACAGGGTATTACACTGTCGGGCTTGCTCGACTGTAGCGTTCTCTCTTATTATTTTTGCTTAACCCTAGATGGTCCTAAACGTACGCAACAGTTTCTCGCCGAACTCACAAAGGAGCCAAAAGCATTTGTGCAAGAGACGCTACCAACAACAATGGAGCTGGGTTGCCGGGAACTCTTCGCGAAAAGAAACAGAATGAGGTGTCGCTATAATTTCACGACTACACCATTTCTCCGTTTGGCGCCAATGAAAATGGAAGAGATCAGCAGGTATCCACCCATCTGGCTGTACCATGATGTGATTTCTGATAGCGATATAGCCACTTTGACAAGCTACTCTTTGTCGGATTTGAGTCAGGGTTGGACCGATCAGTATAAAAAAGAAAATGAAAAGGAACGTACTTTTCAGACGACACCCTATTATAGTGATGGTGGGCCCTTAGATAAACGCCTTCATTCACGCATAGTGGATATGACAGGTCTTGATGTTGGCTCAAGAACAAACTTTAAAGTTGCTAATTACGGTCTCGGTGGCTATTTTCCGAATCACACCGATTTTTTGAACATTACGAAGCATCCGGTAAGTATGGAGAATTCGAGAACCACAGATTACTGATCCATGTTGTATGCAGAGTAAATACTATAATAATAAGGTAGATGATCGGTTGGCAACAGTAATATTTTATGTGAGTAAAGAACATACAAAACTATCCACAGTTCTAACACAAGTACAAGTATTTCTCATTATAGATTGGAGATGTGCCTCAAGGCGGAAATATTGTATTTCCACGCGCTAGAATCTCGGTTCGGCCTCAAAAGGGAACTGCTTTATTTTGGTATAATTTGCACAACGACGGGAAACCAAATATGTTATCAGAGCATACCGTATGTCCCGTTATTGTAGGCAACAAATGGAGTATGTTTTTACTTTTTTAAGTCATCAAATTATGCGTTTTTTGTATACTTTCCCTTTTCCCTTTCGTTTCGTAGCCTTGACAAGCAGCATTCTGGAAAGAGAGCAAATGTTCTTGAAACCGTGCTACAAATAGCTGTCGAGTGTTCTGTAAATAGTAGCCTGGCACTAACATCGGGGTCCTGGACGGTAGTAATCGAAAACTGCTGATGACATAAATAGGCTTTCTGTTTATCTTACGAGTCATTTCCGGTCGAACATGCAAATAGTTTGCTGAAAATATCGTTATATTTCGCAGAAAAAGAATTTATTTTAATGAAGTACAATCTTATACCTAAACATAACTTAATTTTTTTAAGATGTTGGTGGATCTTTTTGTGACCTTGTTTTAAAACAAATTTAAACTAATTGTTTATACATATTTACTGTATATCCAAACATAAGAAAAACGAGAGGTGGAAATATAATTATATAAAAATATAAGAAAACTATTAGTTGTTTGCTGCCTGAATATTGAAGTGATTAGTGGTCAGAAGGAAGTCACAGACTCCATTATATTGGCCTTGGCAGATGTTATATAGAACTTATAAGTAATACGAGTAGGAATAAGTTTGAGCCGATGTTCTCAAAAGATCGCTATTGAATAAAAGCGCATAGCTTTAACACTACTTTCCCAAATTGCTTTTTTAGGTTTAAAAGATTTTTGTATATAATTAGCAAAAAAATATATATTTAAAAAAACAATATCATAAGTATAAATTATATATAAAGTCATCATTCTTTAAATAAAAGAAGTTCTAGTTACCAACCAATTCGAAAGCACACTTTGGCAATTAATAGCATCTTCTCAGACACATTAATTAGCAACTAAAGATGAGAGCTTCCGCCTTAAAAGGCCAACTCATTTGGAAACTGCGAACCATTCAACTAAGCATTTCTATACATAACAGCCTATATGTGTATCTACATATGTATGTATGTATGTATATACATATGTATGTAGTAAGAGCAACAAAGTCATGTTGCTCCGACTGCCACACATTTCTTTCATTGTTTGCCGTAAAAATTGCAAGCGCCACTAAATTCTGGGCCGGCTCGTAGTTTGGGGTATCCCGGGTGGCAAGCGCTATCTTCTTTGCTATCGCCGGCTTATGTGCTTGCCCCAAATACCATTTAGCGGAAGTGCACACTTCAATAATGGAACGAGCAGCAGCAACAACGACAACGACAACGGCAGCTGCAACAAGCCAAAGGCCCTGGCACCAAGCCCCAACTACGACGCCGACGCCAACGACGACGAAGTCAACGACAATGGGGCGCAAGTTGACAATGGAGCACAAGGATACTTAAAAAGGACTACGTTCATTTTTCACAGAGAATGGGGCAGCAAACTGGTTTTATGAAAGCAACTGTTGCCAATGGATGGAAAGGGCCTGAGACTAAACATAAGACTTAAATGAATATATTAAGCAATTGCATAATTTAGGAAATTTAGGAAATAATTGCAAAGATGAAGCAAACTAAAAGAATTAACAAAGAAACTGGACAGTTTTCAACTGCAATTCTGATGCCGGAGCTGTGGCTTGTCAGTTGCTCGACCGGCGAAGTCCTTTGCCAGTGTCTGTACTCTGCGCCGGAATGAGTTTGAATGCAATTTGTTGACACTTTGTAGTATGGCGGGAAATGAAATCAGCACTAAAATAATTGTATAAGTTGCCCAAAAGTGCCTGTAGGCCAGATAGTAGAAAGCTTTCAACAGCAATAGGATAACAGGACGACATATTAGAGTATAGCGTTGGCATTGCGGGTTCCTATGAGCTTATGTATGCGGAGTGTGGCAATTAAACTTAATTGTTGAGTCAACAACACACATTTGTTGAGTCAATAATCTAACTCTATAAAATGATGTTACATATACCTCATATAAAGCTGAAAAGCAAATAAATTAAGAAATTAACAGACTGCTGATGTACCATCGAATACAAGTAGAAGGGTGAGGGAAAAAGTGTGTTATGAAAAAGAAGTTTTCAGCGACAAAAATTTAATTGAAGAATTATGTAATAATGAAAAATTATCTATTCTATTATAAATATTTAGAAGACATTAAGCAATATTTATCAACCTCATCAATGCATTGAATAGAAAAAACTATCAATATCCACATTTTTAAAAAGTGTTTATCATATATATACTTGATTTTAAATCTTTCAAATTGACTCTTCTGCTGAGCTAATTAAAAGTAATTCATAAATCGTTCATTTTATGCAGCTTATAGTAATTTTTCACTATCTTTTGAATATTAGGTATATATATACTATACCTATAGCTTTTGAAAAAGCTGGGAATATAAAAAAACAAATACAGTGAAAACTCCCTTAATGAAAACTCCCTCTTTTATCCGGACACTCTTCGGCTGACAGTTTTTCTAAAACATTCGATCGGTTTATAAAGTATTTATTTAAGTATCCCCTTAAGCGGACAATCCCCTTGGGCGGACAAAAATTCTCTGACCAAGAGAGTTTTCACTGTAAATGTTATTTGTTTATTGAAAACATGTCTAAAGTATATACACATATACGATTTTTATTCGAATTCATGAAGAGCAACCCACTACAAATATATTGTTTGACAAAATAGATTCAACTAGATAAGTAATACCCATTGATATTAGTTAGATGCCAAACCAGCATAGGACAACCGAATGTGAACAACTCCAAAATGAAGAATTTCCAACGATGTTGCAAAAGTAACTACAGTTTTCCTACACTATATCATAAGATAAAATATATATTTTTTATACCCTGTACCCAAAGGGTACAAGGGTATATTAGTTTTGTACGAGTGTACATGGAACACACAGAAGGAGGCGTGGCAGACCCCACAAAGTATATATATTCTTGATCAGCATGACAAGCCGAGTCGATATAGCTATGCCCGTCTGTCTGTCTGTATGAACGCAAGGATCTCAGAAAGTATAAGAGCTAGAATAACAAAACTTGGTATCTAGATTCTCCTAAGCCCGAGAAAGGACGAGTTTCTTCATTTTTCCCGATGCACAACCCCACTCCCCCCTATTCAAGATTTTCTATAACTCCCGTAATTCTTGGAATTTTAAACTAAAATTTGGTGGACACATCCAGTTAGTGATTATATATCCGTATACCATTATGATAGGTTCTGATGTAAATGTAAATATATGTATGCATGTATGGAATATTTTATATTTAATTAAGTTAATTCATTAAATTAATTTAATTAAATAATTAAAATACATTTATTTATGTTTTTGTGGGGTGGTACAGGGTATTTAAGAGTTGAGCCTGCTCGACTTTAGCATTCCTTTCTTGTTTCCATATACATTCTTCTATATATTATAGCCAAATATAAGTTAAAGAGCTCGAACTACCCATATACTACCTATTTACTACTAACAACTGAAACTCTGTTTAAAATGTGTATTGAGTAACGAACATAAAAACCATTGAGGCCCAATTACAATTCTTACTTATAGTTCGCAAATACTACATACATGCGGGTACAAGCCAAAGAAAGTTGCGGTTCTTGTAATGGCCGTCTATGGAATACGTAGCAGTTGTGTAAAGGTCCTCTGACAAATTGAAGTAAAAGAAGTTGGCAAGAAAACAGGCGACACTGCAGCCGCAGGCACACAAACTGCTGCATTGATTTATCGTCGTTCGCCTGTTGAAGCGCCAAAAAAAAGAGTGCAGCAAGAAGCCCCCAAGTTGTTGAACCAAGTGAAAGCGGTAAAGTGAAAAAAATAAACATAAGAAGTGATAGACGAAGAAACGCAAACACAATCTAAAGCGTTTGCCGCTGCTCCTGCACTTATCAGCTCGCTGCAGCGCAGTACTTGCGACTTGGACTCGAGGGCTTTGTAAAGCGATTCCGAAATGTGTTGAACTTTTAAGTGATTGAATTGCGGATTGTTTGCGTATTGAATAGAGTGCAAATGTGGCACCAGGTCGGGCCAGAATCCACAAGGTTATGAGCCGAAACAGGTATGTAACTAGAGTATTAATATTTTAAGAGAATTTAAAACTGAGCTTTAAATCGGTGAGATGATTTCTATAGGTGAAGGAGAATGAAGAATACACTTTGGCAACCCAACAACCTACAATTCCACCATTCAATAACTGCCGAAATAAGTATGTTTGTATAATAAAGCTTTTATTTGTGAAGAAAAAATGAAGCTTTCCTAAAAGATGAATCGAAAAACAGTTAAGTAAATGGTAATAGAAACGCTGTCCCTCTCTAACACTATTCAGTGTTCCCATGATAAAAATCTAATATGACATTCCATGTAACTGTCAAAAGTTCTCCTGCGCTATCGTGACAATCATACTCTACGTACGAACATTTTTCTCTGGCTCCTGTTCAGTTGAAAGGAAAAACATTTGCCGCCCTCATTTTTGCTGGAAAACTGTGAGAAATTAATTGAAAACGAATGTACCATCTCTGCTCATTATCTAATTGCAGGAAAAATTAAAATGAAACCGGAGAAGAAAAACAAATCGGGCGTTCTGCTTGAGGATTCGCTCATCATCAAGTCAATCGATACGGATGGCAAACATTTTGAACGCGTCTCACGCATTCATTTTACATCAGAGATCTTTGGCTTTGATGTGCTGGCCGACATAAACGTCTGGATATATCCGGTGAAGGTGGGCGAGAAATTCAATTGGATGCTGGCTCGCACTCTGCGCTACGATGGTGGCAGAGATCCGGCCTATTACAATAAGCAGGACAAAGAAACCGATCGCGCCAATGACTTCCAATACGTCATGTATGGGCAAGTCTATCGCATCGAAGAGCCAACTGGTTGCGATGGCAAGCAGATGCAGACTGTCTTCATATCATATGGGGGATTGTTGCAACGTATCAAGGGAGATCCCATGTTAATGAGAACCTTTGAGCTCGATATGGATGTATACTTTTTCCTAAAGCGTAACAAGAGCGATTAATTTTAAGTTATTACTCCGAAGTGCGTGACTTTTGTTCTGTTCAGTCGACTGCAAGAATATAAGAGATGAAGTTTTTGAAGTACATATTAACCTTTCGTTTCACTGGCAACAAAACAATTGTCGATTCACGAATACTACCTGTGCCCGTTGTCACTACAGGTTAAGTGCAACATGTTGCACCGTCAATCTTTCCTCGAGCCATTACGAAATCGCTTTCATGCTGAAGAGTTCCTCGAAGTTGTGCGAGTATGTGGCGCCTGCCGGCTGGCATATGATGGTTTTTTAAATCGAATTTTGTCCTGATCCTGGCACCCATGTAAGTGGCCTTAATAAGCATTAAAGCTATGCGCATCAACGAATTTTTATACAAATACGAATTCTTGTCATTTGCTTGGCCGCACGACCAAGAATCTAATTAAATTTTAAGACGCGTACGTGTACGCGGTTGTATTTTAAAGAATAAACATTGTTAAATGTGTAACAGGCAATAAAATGATGATGTCGAGTCGAGTATCTAACTCGTTTATAGATCGTCGTTGCCGCCTGGCAAGGTAGCGTCTTCAATTTTGCGAATCTGTTCCCATGTCAGATCGGACTCCTTGATAGCCACTATGGAAGCTTGGCAGTATGGGCACTCGCGAAAATCCATCAAATAGACTTCCTATAGGGAAAGAGAGTGAGTTTATTTGCAGTTGGAGGTATTTCGAGAACTAGGACTAGTGAGGTACTTACGAAAGGATGCTTGACGCACTTCTCGGTCAAGCGTCCACGAAAATATTGATGGCAAATGCCACACTCATAAACTTTTGAAGCACGATCGCAAATACAAGGAACAATCGTGCTGTTGTTATTTTCATCTTCCTCCTGCGCTTCGATGGTCAACAAGCGATGACGTGGCGGCTGATTGCCCTTTGGTGGTTTGGTTCCAGAACCGCGATTTGATGAATAAAGGGCTTTCAAACGAGCCGCAATATCTTTGGGCTCGATACCGGTTTTAGAGCGCCAGTTACGATCTACGCAAATATTCAAATTTTTCATTGTAAGCACCCTTCACGTACAATGTATGTATGTATGTATAATTACCCATTTTGTTCAATTTTTTTTTTTTATTATTCCCTTATTGTGAAGTAAGGCAATACTGATTTTTGAAGAAACTGCAAAGTTGACAGTTTGACAATTAAAACATTGCCTTATACTTCGAGCACACTGCAGCTGTATTTTGAGAAAAATTTCGTCAAGAAACGTTTCTTTTAGTTACAAGTTCGCATCATTTCGGGCTTTGGATAACGGTGCTTGGTGGTGTGGGAAACCGCAGACGTAAAAGTGTTTATTAGCCGAATAGGGCTGCAATTTATATTCAATTAATTTTGATTTAGTGAACTAGTTCCAATTCATTGGGTTACCCAAATGTCTTCAGCTTTGTACAGAAGGGAGTTCTTGAATGATATTTAAGAACTGATTTTACCGATCCGATGTTCATAGCCGCTCCATACCGTCACAAACAAAATTAAGGAAAATACCTGTACCCACATTGTTCAAAGAAAATCACTTCAAAGACAGATTTTTAAAAATTAATTTGTCTTATGCTCGAGATTACATTATTTGAATCAATTTTCAATAATAAATTACATTTTTTAAACTTAATTCATAACTTCGCAGCTTCAGCACAGCAATTTACTGCGAAGTTTATAACGAACGGATCCGACGTGAAACCAGATCAGTGAACCAAACAGCCCAACTTCTCAAAGAAAAGAATGAAAGAGTGACAAATAAGAAATCGAATAAAAGCGCAGCAACATAAAATTCATAATTTGTTTGTATGACACAAATTGTTTATTTTATATGTATGTACACATGTATAGTTATGCGTGGTACATAGTATTTATGTATTCCTCTATGTGAGTTGCGTTCTCTGTTTACATCAGCCGTCAACGGCTCCAGTTACTGCTTCAATTGTAAATATTTAACATCTGCGCCACAGAAGCCACAGTTACGTGCATCCATTAAATAGGCAACCTATGTATGTGTGTACATATGTATGGACAAATGCACAAGAATGTTGAGTAATATCCACTATAGTTGTATATTAAGTATTCACTTTTACCAACGATCTTACCTCTGGATGGACTGGACAGCGCTGACTTATACGTCCTATAAACGTATTGCGGCAGCACAAGCAGCAAAAATTTTGACGCTTTCGCTCGCAAACACATTGATGTTGATCCTTGCGCAACTGATCCTTGGTTTCATCGCTGGTGACGACAATTTTGTGGATAGTAATAGAATAGTCACTTCTTTGTTTTCCTACGACGCGTGCTTCCATTGTAAGTCCAAAGTTTGACTGGGAAAGTGTTGGTCTGCCCAATTCCACGTATAATTCCCCCAACAGTTCTTCAACAAGTGTTTGCTTTGTCTGTCAGGTCTGCCAGGGCTGCTTCCCTTTCATAACATAGTCTTGTTGACAGCTGAAGCTGTGACAGCGCAACCCTATATAATGCTCTAAGAATTAAAACTAAATTATGTGGTTTGCACACAATAATATTTTATTTATCTGCTTTTTTAAATTTATTAATTATTAATGATTTTTATTTATTGTTTTGCAAGCGAATATTTTGAAATTTGCGCCCAGTGGTGTGTGAATTCGCTAAATTTAGCATATACATAAGCCGCGGAACACTAGCGCCACTGTAGTCTAAATTGTGAGCTGTTTGCGTGTAGAGTACGTTCGACTCAAATACATAATGTGGCAGTCCGTTCCCAACCGGCTCGTTGGTCTAGGGGTATGATTCTCGCTTCGGGTGCGAGAGGTCCCGGGTTCAATTCCCGGACGAGCCCAAGTTTAAATTACCTAAATTTTTTGCATTTTTCTCCTTTTCCGCATTTTTAAGAAAAAGCGGATCCAGCGAGCAGATCGCATATTCTTCACAAACTGCAAAGATGTTAAAATGCGCATATAGTACACAAACAAAAGAAAGAGCTGCTTCGCAAATATGTTTATCATTAGGTTTTTGTTTGTTTGTTTTTTTGTTGTTCGCAAAGCGTATTTGTATGGTTGTTGTTCTTATTGTTGAGGGGAAAATTTGTTGTGTTTTGTAATGACGTCTTCTTCGTTCATCCGTATTTGTTGCATGCCATGCAAATTTTTACATAAGCCTTAGCATTTGTTTAGTGTTATGTTGGAATACTTATAAACTGATTTGTTTTTCTTCTCTGCTTCTTTTTCCTTTAGTTTTTTGTTTGTTTGTTAAGATTAATTGTTTTAGAACTGCCGCTGCCGCTGCCACTTTCGCTGCGTTGTCTGTGTATGTATATGCTACATGTGCTATACGTGTGTATGTGTGGGTGTATTGAATGATTGTGTATTTGTTTCCAGTTCCAGTCTCTCTCGGTCCTCCTCGTCCATACGTGCTTAAACGCCTCACTCGCCTTATTCGTATTCCAGCACGTTTTTATGATAAAACAATAAATAACTGAAATGAAATTTAATTTTGGATTTTTTTCAACTATCCAAAGTCGAATGGAAGACATTTTTGTTGGCTCCACTCACCCCTCGCTGTCCAGCACCTGCTTGAGCGAAGCCATCGTTATCACATGATCATCGCACTTGACCCACGTGTCCTTCTGGTGTCGCACATAGGCCGTATAGTGACCCGTGTCGATGGTGCCCACATGGTTGACAACGGCATACAGGGAGAAACGAAAGTCCCCGTAAGCGTTCTTCTTCTCGGACATGAATGGCGTCATATCGAACTCAACGGGAAACTGAATGAACGATGAGATCTTACGATCGATCAGCGCCGAGTGCTCGAACCGTTTCAGGTGAAACGACACGACACTGGGCAGTGTGCGTAGGCTGAACTGTTTGGTGGACTCCTGATACGATTTACAGGTCGAACACTTGATCTTGGCCGCCGATCCCAAATGCTCGGCACGCGTATAGCGCTCCAGGCAATCGATGAGGGTCTTAGGCGTCACACCGCCGTGCGTTGTCGTCTCCCCGAGATCGAGCGAAATATCCCAGAAGGGATCGAATGTGGTCGAAACTCCGTTGCACGCCTGGCACACCACGTCGCTCTGCAGCATGCCCGTAAAGATCTGGTCAATAATGCAGTTGCACTGACCAAAGCAATGGCCAGCCGTCGAATTAGAGCTCGCTGAGGAGTTGGAGCCACCGCCACTACCACCACCGGTTCCGCCGCCTCCACCAGAGGAGCTGTTGCTCTTCCCGCTGTTGCCCTCGTGCTCCGACTTGGCCTTCACGCAGTGGCGATGCAGCACGTCCAGAGTAGCAATAAAGAACTCGTGTGCATCCTGCTGCTCGTAGCCGGCTAGATGCTTGGCATGATTCCAAATTAAATGCAGCAGTCTGTGCAGAGAGAGCGGCGACCGCGAGCCGGAATAGAACTCCTGTTATCAGGCAGAAAGAGAGAGTGTGAACCAAGTTGTCTTAGCGAGTGTTGCGCAATATTCGCGGGCTGCTACTTAGTCCCTTTTGTTATTATGAATACTTAGTAATGATACTGTTTCGAAAACTTGTTGTAATAATAGAACATCGAATTGAAGATTATGAAATTATGGTCGATTCATAAATCAATATTCCTTTCTCGATTTCCATAGATTTTTTTAGCTGTTTATCCCAACCAAAACTTCACTTTTTAGAATTATATATTAATATTTCAATATATCACTGCGACGTAGAATCATTGGAAATTTGATTGCTTTAATATTAAACTATATTTTATATTTAATTGAAACTAATAATTAAAGACAATATTTAAGAAATATACGTATAATACCGGGTAAAAGCTTTAAAATTATTATTAATTTGTATTATTATAAATATTATTTGCGGACTTTGTTAGTATTCAACGTTTTCACTAACCGGATTTAAAATTTTATAATGAACGAATCAACAAATAACTAGTCTTGTGTCTTCCGAGTATAATATGAATGGGATAGAAATGTAGTAATGAGCTCGTCCCCACTTTATGGTTTTCAAAATCACAGTTCACATTACTGTGCAAAAAATCACAGTCTCCGCCATCACTAGGAGGGTAGACTTGAAAACAGCTGTACGAGCGGCTCTCTGGCCGCTACTGCGTCTGCGCTAACACTCTGGCATACACTCACCTGGAAGAGACGCGAGACCTCACACACGAGACACTTGTGTGAAGATTTGCTGCCGCAATCATGCCGGTCGGACATGAAGTAATCGCTCAGCAATGGTGTGTGTACCAACGCCTGGGGGCAAGCAGATAGACAGAAATTGGGAAGGGCAGTTAAGATTCACATCTACATCTAGTATATGTTTAACGTCAATAATTTCGGAAACTCACCTGGACAATGCAATTCATAAAGCACGTGGCACCCAGATTGAGCAATCCCCGCAATCCAATCGTTTGATTGGGACGCACAAGACGACGTCGTGCATTGGCGAGCAATAGATTCGTCTCCTTGGCCGTGGGAATCCAGGGCTGCCAGCCTAAACTTTTCTGCAAGTCCTTGGCCTCCAGCTTGCGATTGATCAGCGCATACTCTCGACTTCTGGCATCATAGATGAAGTCGCGACAGGCGTAGCAATACAGGGTGCCATGCGACAGCTCCAACGCCACATTATGTTTTTTGGCACGCAAATGGCTGGTGATGTGCGTCCCCCGACAACCAAAGTAGATGCAATGGAGGCAGGCATAGAGCTGTATGCCATAGCTGCCGCACTCGAAGCAATTGCAGTGTATGGCCTGAGAGGGAGTGGTAAGGGGAGGATTGCAGAGATGGGTAGCTATGGGTTGGGTTCGGGTCGGTTTACTACTCACCTTCTTTTCACGCGCATCTTTGTTAATGCAGGCCGCAAAGTATGCATCGATGACGCGAAACGTGTCATAGCTGTGTTCCTTCACGTAGCTCTGATAATGCCGGCATCCAGTTTCGGACATGACATTGACATCGACGCTGGCGTCAAGCTCAACGGCAACGGCAAGCTTTTGCACGGTTAGCAAACAAGTTGATAAATGCGTCGCATTCAAAGCGTTCGCTGTTTGTTGCTGTTGTTGTTGGCCCTTTGTTAGCTGCGTGCTGTCTTCGGCGTTGTTGTCGTTGATGCCGCCCCCACCGCCCCACCCACTTCTAGCAACAGTTTCGTCGGCCGCACACCGGCCGGCAGTTCTGCTGCTTGTTGTTGTTGTTGCTGCTACTGGACTTACAGTTGTTGTTGGCGCTGCTTCTGCTGTTACTTTTGTTGTCTCTGCTGCCGCTGCTGCTTCTGTGAGGGCCGCTCCCCGGCCAGCCGACGCCACCAACGCGTATACTTGCGCTTGTTTATTGCTACCACTGCTGCCGCTGCCACTGCCACTGCTGCCAATACTACTGCAGTAGCTGCTTGTCGTACTATCAACACTATTTTCTTTTGTTTTCGTTCGTTTGCTAGACGGTTGTTGCACGTTTGCTTTATCACACTTTCGCTGTTTTCGCCGAATTTTGGCCACTTTTGTAATGAACACACAAAGTGTAGAAAATAGGAACTTCGGTTTTGCGTGCTCAGCTTTAAGCAAAGAGCCGAAAATTTTCGCTTAGTTTTCTGTTTTTTCCGCAACTCAAGATTCTGATTTACACCAATTTGCACGCACACACACATTTATGCACGCAACACACACGCCAACACGCATACAAACACAACCGCACACAGCTGAATTTTCTTCCGATACTGACGACAGCTGCGCAGTAATCGAAGAACAGTCGGGGGCGGTAATTATCGACGCGGCGCGGATCTAGCAGTTTAATTCTTTCCTTTGTTTATACCTTAATTGTACTTAATTTAGGTGATTTTAGGTTATGATCTGTATTTACAATATATTTTCGGAAAATTCGACTTTATTGAAGCTATATTTTAAAAATAAACCCATATAGTAGACGCACGCGCATTCAAATGTTCGCATGTGTACCAATTTATCGACTACGCTGTACAGCGTCAAACAGCACTGCCACACGCTACCCAACACTTTCATATTTGAAATACTGACAGCTGCCTTGCAGCGGCGGCGGATATCTTTTAACACAAATTTAATTTAAGCTATACTAGTAACAAAATTGTGCAAAAGCTGTATGAAAATGTACACGGATGAGGTGAGAACACCGCAAGCATTGCAGACACACTACTATTCAAAAGTTGGCGAAGTAAAATGCCGTTCCCTGGCGAACAACAGACGCAGCAGCGCCAACAACAGTGCCGAGAGCTGCGCCACGCCAACGAATGGCGCCAAACAAAAGATGAGCTGCAGTCCTAAAATGTCCATAATATGTACACCGCCTCCAAAGCGCTTTCACAAGGTTCGCAATCCTTTTGAAGGGGCACTCACTGATCGTCTGCATTTGCCGCTTATTGCCAGGTAAGCTGCCATTAAAAATGTATCACATCCTTTCGCTACAATGTCTTGTCCTTGAAGTCCCTCACTGTTTCAATGCCGCTCACACACTCCACAACTCTCGTCCACACAATTTGAATGGGACATTGAGGAAGTCTCTCAACTCAAGCCCGCCGATGTGGAGCCGCATGAAACCCAATTCCACGACTCACCCGATCCTGAACAGGAGTCGAAGGCGCAGCTAGCCATTAGCACATTTTTTAAGGAGTCTCAGATCGTGCCCAGTCCTGTGGACTGTCCGCTGCGTAGTCGACGCATTATTTTGTCGGAAATTCAAGGCGACACACCCATTTCAAACAAAACCACAGGACCACGCCGCGTCCGTGACTGCGAGGTACAAACTGAACTGACATTGCCGCCTGTGCTGCCCAAAGCATTAGAGGACGCTCTGCGTCCCTATCTGCAGCCTCATTTGGCTGGTAGTATGAGCGTGCCCCGAAAATCTCCCGGAGGCGATATTTTTAACAGCTCGATGCGTCGGAAATTATTCGATCTCCACAATGTTGTTGTGCTGGGTGAGAGCCAGCAGCCCGAACAGGATCACGTGGTGGGCTCAAGTCCCCAGGCCAAGCAGACGCTCTTTGCCGGCCGTCTTTCGGACTCTACAGGCGATGAAGGTTCCAACAGCTTTGGCTGTCTCTCGCCCATTCGCAATTCATGTGGCCTTCGGCAAGGTACCCCCGATGATGGAAATGGCTATCGCAAGCGGAAAAGCCTGCTCCACGAACTGGAGTTGCCTTCACCCATTGCTCAATCGGAGCATTTAAGTCGTCGAATGCGTAATGTTGAGCACACTTCAAGAAGCAGCTATCGCGAGCAGAGTAATACAAGTGAGCACGTGACTCTCTCGGAGCTAACGACCACAGGCTGTGCGGTGACACACAATAATTTCACGCCCGAACGTAGCTCCTCACCCATGCAGCTGCTAGAATACAGCTCTACAGACTGCAGCATTAATCAGCGCGTTAGTCGCTTGCGCGTGAATAGTACACGCCAGATAGCCCAGAAGTTGTCGATACAGGAGGTCGAAGAGACCGGCGGTGAGGACGATAATGAGGGGGAGGACGACGAGCCCGAAACGGAGGATGAAGATGGCATGCAGGTGTCTCAACTCTCAACTCACAGCTTCAACTGCAGCTCCTCCAATTCGGACACGCCACGCGGCCTTCATCGTCGTTCTGCCAATCGTAAGAATCTCTCTCAATCGTTTAACGCGAACACCAACTGGTCGGATGACGAGGCCGAACAAGTGGATCAGCCAGATCAGGAGCAGGCCCAAAATGCAATACGGACTATTGGAAATACGGTGGAGGAGTGGCTCCCAATTACAAATGATTTGCCGACCGAACCGGTCGGTTTTTATCGCACAGACAGTGGATTCAATGATACTAGCAGTGTCTCAACGTTTGCCTTCTCGCAGGAATTGCCAGCCTCTGACGGTGGAGCCCTAGATGTGAGCATGGTTTGCTGTTCTACGCCCTCAACTCGTTCCTGACATACATACGTTCCTGTTAATACTTATATATACATTTGTATTCAATTTTAGTCTAAATTCGCAATCCTAGACTCAAACTGCAATGTTGCCCACCGAATTTAAGGCCTTCTCGATGTTTAATCAATTGTATTGTGTTAACGTTTAAGTTATTCTATGTAAATTTTTGTTTATGTAATGTTTCGTCTTCATGTTTGCCAAATAGTCTTAAGTTCACACATATTTGCAATCACACATACAATTCGACGCTTAATTCAGTAAATTAAAGTTAATAAATATTAAATAAATACTTTACCAATTTCTTGAGGGTACATATAGTAAAAAAATACAACAAATATATATTAATAGGGGCTTTACAAAGTGAAGTTTGTTTTGAATCATTAATATTAATTAATGCCATGGCTCTCTCCAGATCTTAATCAAACTTTTATTATATACATGCAAATATACAGCTTAGAAGTAATCAAAATTGTAAGTAAGATTACATATTCGAAGCAATAGCTACGTGGCTTTTACCTTAACGAAATGGATAATAATAAAGATATTTACAGACTCATAAAGTGTTCCATAATTTGACTTGATGATTTAAGATACTTACGATTATTCATAAGTTGTCTTTAAAAAGATTAAAAATGTAGGTGGATGCATTAGGTGGATTAGGCGTTGGCATTTGGCATTAAATGTGTGATAGGATCAAACATGTATTTGTGGGTTTAGAGAAATCATGATGGATATTTTTCATATCATTTTGGAGCTTACCACAGTCTAGATGGTAGTTATTTGAATGTTTAGCGAGTGCTGCGAGTGGGGATTTGTGTTTGAAAATAGGCTTACGAATTTGTGTTGAAAATCTGATTTTATGGATCTAATGATGTCAGGGATGTGGATATTATTTTAGGAAATCAGAGCGTATTTAACTTCTGCAGCACCGTGTTTTTCATAACGTTAATATTGCAATGGCTGGACCCCAGGCTTGTAAGGGGCATTATGATACTATAATCACAATGCTCATAATCAGTACATAAAACAAATGGATTTGGAATTGCTGTTTGTGCAGCTTGAAAAATAGCTATTAGTTGCATTGCTGCAAAAAGTAGAAAAGGCTTGTAAAGGCTGTTGTGGTCAATGCCAAAAGAAATGGAATCTCCTGGCTTGGAACCATCGGTGAACATTTATAAAGGAGTAAAGGACGGCAAGAAATCTTTGATTTGGGGGAACATTAGTCGGTACTATATTGGCAAAGGCGATGATAAGCAAACACAATTTTTTGTTATGTGTTAAATTTATCATTCCAAGTCGTACGATTTATTGTGTTCAATAAAATAAGTTTGTCGTGATTTTGTATGAAATTTTGTATTACTCCATCACGCATATCGTACTACCTAATCCGCTTCACAGCACTAACAACAACATTCGATACTTCGGTTGGTATCGCGTCACGCTTCTATCGATCTGGCAGCACTCTGGCACTGATCATCAGCTGGTAGGTGCTCTCAGTTTGGTTCTGGTCGCCGTTTTAACCGCATCGTTTGTGGCGCGTAGTTCTTTGTTTACGGTTTGTTTTAAACGTTATTGTCGGCGCGCTGGCATAAACAATAAATAAAAAGTTGATGCGGCTGCATTTTAATTTCTAGTGCTTGTTCTGATTTATGCTTGTGCTGTTGTTAACAAATTGTAAATTACACGTGCAAATTATTCGATACATCAGCGCTAGCAACCACAACAACAACAAGCCTACGAAATTGTTGCACTACTTTTCACCTGTGTATTGCAATGTGAGTGTGTGTATGTGTATGTGCTTGTGTGTGCGTTGGCTACGTTTGGCTTGGTTTTGTGGTATGCGTGAATTTTATAAATAGCAAGAGCAAAAAAAAAAGATTACTTCTTGAAAGCGTAGCAACGGCAGCCACTACCGCAGCAGCAGCAGCAGCGGTATGCCAAACCAAAAAGAAAGTGCGAAAAAAATAAATAAAAATATTTTTGTGGGGCAGTCGTTAAAATAAAGCGTTGCTGCATGGCAATAAATTAGAACGACGCGTAATTGAGCCAGGTGGCAAACAAATTAAATGTAAATAAAATTATGAAATAAAAATGAAAATAGGCAAAGGCGGAAACTGTGCAAATAAAGGAAATTACGATTACTACTACCCCCTCGGCTAAATTCCTGTTGCGATCAAATCAAAAACCAGTTAGAGCCCCAACCGGACTGCCAACGCAGACTGCGGCTGCCGCTGCTGCTGCTGCATCCGTTTTAGCGAAAGTTTTTTATGGTGTGTTGTTGTTGGTGTTGTTATTGTCGCTGTCGTCGTCGTCGTCGTCCACAAAAGTGTGCAAACAAGCCGAGTGCTCAGCCAGCTTGCCATCTAGCCAGGCTAGCCAATCAGCCAGCTGTTAGCGAGCATAAATGGAAAATAAAATCTTGCCTGCCAATTAATTGTGCTGTGAAAGTGTGTATTTGTTTGAGTGTTGTGCATCATAAATAATGAATGATATATTTTTACACTTTTCAGTGCAAATTAATTGAAATCCATCGTCGTCATCGTTATTGAATAGCAATAAAGGTAAGTGCCACCGCTTGATACATGTTGCTAAGGCGCGTGTTGCTGGCAACTCTTTTAAGCTGGCGGGCAACCCTTTTTATGCGCTCTGTGCAATTTCCGCTATAATTGTCAGTTGTCCATGGAAAAAAGCGTAATTAAACAGGCAGCCAGCTAGTGAGACAGTCAGGCAGTCAGCCAGACAGACAGACAGACAGGTAAACAGGTAGACAAGGTGGGCAGGCAGCAGCAAACAAAGAGTAAGGCACACAAACAACGGCAGCAACAGAAATAAAAACAGGCTAAGAAGTTAGCTTCGTCTGGACCGAAACCGCATACACCCTTCAATGTGCTTTTTTGTTTCCAAAATGTATTTTAACAAAATTAAAAAATAAACCAAAATTTTATTTATTTAAAAGCATCAATTTATTTATAACATAAATTATGTGATAATAAAAAACTTTAAATATTTAGAGCGAAAAGAAAAATTTCCAAAAGTCACAAGTCTCTACTATTCTAAAATTTAGTAAAACTAAACATCACAAAAGCAAATACAAATTAAAGTTGAAGCTTTAAATGTCCACATAAGTGTAATAATAATACATATTAAAATATTATCAGTTTTTCCTCATTTGTTTCATCCATCTTTTTAACATTTTAAATGCATTTTCCTAACAATTCCTAACAGTTTTATTTTTCATGAAGGAATAATTAAAAGTGCGTGTTCATTTAGTTCGCAAAGTATTTTAACTTACATCTAAATCAGTCGCATCTCTTTTTCCTATCATTTAAAAATATTTAGATCAGAAATCAAGTGTATTTTTTTTAATATACTTTCATATATACTTTGAAATTGTTTAAAAAAACTACCAAAACCATATAACATACCCGAATTTCGTTTTGAAATAAACACCAAAAACGGTCACACTAGGGGGCATAGACTGCTAGTTATACACTAATCTATCTATCATTCATGGTTATCATTCTCAATTTGGTTCCCATATCTTTATGATTTAAAAGCGGAAATACTCTTTACAAATCATATTGTTTCCATGGCAGCCATATAGTATAGAGATCTGACTTAGATATAAAACTGATAGATAAACGGACGAATAGACAAACACGCAGACTTTGGTGTGTACTGTGAAAACTCTCTTAATGCATAAAAGAATCCGGACACCGGACTCTTACCTGGACACTATTTCTAGAACACTTCTTCGGCTTACTAAGTATTTAAGAATGCTCTTAAGCGGACCCTCTCCAGGAGAGTTTTTAAATGTTTGCATTGTCGCATTAAGTTGACTTTTAACATCTGGTCTAGCACTGTGCCTTTCGGCTGTTACAAACGTACACATCAAAAGCAATATAGCCTTACGCTTTTCAGTAAAGGGCATGAAAACACCGCTTCAGCAAACAACTGCAGACAAGGCCTGCAGCGGAATTGGCAGCAATAGTCAGTCGTTGCACCGGTCTCATGCAAGTTGAACTTGTTGTTGTTGTTAGTATTGTTGCTGCTGTTGCTGTACTTGTGTTACCAATTTTGTACATTTGCCGACAAACGCGGCTACGACTACGACTTGAAAACAGAAACCGGTTACAAGCCGAACTGAAATATTCTAAAAAGCATTGCTCTCTCTCTCCATCTCTCTCTCTCTCTCTCGCTATCCCCCCTCTCTTATTAACCCTCTTGTGTTGTTCACGCTTCACTGCACTCGCTGCCGTGCTGCTGGGCTGTTGTTGCAACGGCTAGTAGCGGTGGCGGTGGCAGTGGCGCATGCGTGCAACTTGTTGCTGCACTTTCATTAAACGCACATGCATATGTTTTCCTGTTTGCATTCGCCAGCACCCTCCCCCTTCCCCCCTCCAATATGCGCCGCTCACAAATTCAATTTCTAATATTAAAATCAAACCCGTTTGCATCCTTCTGACACACTGACATCTTTTTCTGGCCACTTTTGTTGCTATTATTATTTTGATCGTTTTTGTTGTTTTTGTTGTTGTTGTTGTTGCTGTTGTTGCTGCTGTTTCTGCTCAGCAATTTTGTTTAATTAATTTGCAGTTGTCACCGAACTTGTTTTATGTTTTCTCTTTTGTTCAATTAATGCGCATGTGTGTGTGTGTTTCTCGTCTTCTTCTCATTTGCATTGATTTGCAAATTTTTATTGTCTGCTTCTGCTGTTGTTGCTCTTTTACGTAATTCTGTTTGCTTGTTGTTGCTATTAGCGAGCTGTTAAATTTTCCAATTTATTTTATTACTATTATTATTTGATTATTGAAATGTTGCGAACAAAGCTTGACTTTGCAATTTGCAGGCTTTGTTTGCCTAACTTATTTAAACTATAGTATGTGTGTATCTAGGAAATGGTTTGCGTTTCAGGGGCATCTACATAATTTAATCAATGTACTACTTAGTTAGCTACCCGGGGAATAAATTAAGAATCAACTTCAAGTTCAAGTGTGAGTGCTTCCTGTGAAATCTTTTTAATGTACTATTCACTCGATTGCGATATTAACGAATAAAAATAAATAATTTGTAACAGATTTTTGCTTTATATTTCTAAGCGTTTCTATTAAACGATGCTTAAACATAACTTGAAAGATGTCTCATGTAAAGAATAATCGACTTCATAATCTCCTAAAGATAATAAATACATACATATTTGTTTATTCTTTAATTTGCTTTAAATGTTGGAACGATTCTATGCACACTAAATAAAACCTGGCTAAACCATACCACGAACTCATCCCTATCCCCACTACGTAACTTCCAATAATGTCGAAAATGGAGTATGGAACACACAAACTAATAAGGTCTGGCTCTTCCGGCTAACATGCTCTTTCATGCCAAAAAAAAGGTCGCTTGAAATAAAAGAAAACTCGGTTAAAATTTAAATTAAATTTAAATTTCGTTCAAACGATGGTCCTCTAAAAAAACATCCAAAATCGCATCACTTTCAATTTCGCCCCAACTAAACCAATCATATTTTTAAATATCAGATTATGGGCATTAAAATCATCCATTTCTTCAAAATAGTGCAAACAAATGTTTCTCCAAGGCAAATATTCCTTGCCCTCCCCAAGACCTAATATATGGATGTTCCAGTTCTTTTGGCATATTCTAAAACAACCCAACTAAATCTTCCTCATTACCTAAACCACACTACTTGCGCTTTTCAAATCTTTTATACTACTCCCTACAAGTCATACAATTACTTTCATTGCATTAATTTTTTTTTTAATTGGACACTAGCATGGAATGATCATATAAATAAAAAAATAATAGATCGGACATAGGGATTTCTTAGATTCAAGGCTTGGTACCTAAGTGGCTTACACTACAAAATAAAATCGACATTTTGGTAGAAAAATTTAAGCTTTAAGCAAACACTAAATTTTCTGTTCAATTATATGTCATGAGTGCTATATACCATAAATACTTTACATCGCATAGGCACATTTAATAAATAAATAAATAAATCATATATACTTAGTACATAACAGCGACCACAAAACAAATAATGTAGACAACAGAAACGATCCCAGCCGACACAAATTAACAACAAATGAGGAAGCCAAGTACCTGTTTAAATATATAGTATGTATATTTTTTGCAGTTCCTCGTAGAACTCACAATATAAATTACTCAACTGTTTCTAAACTAATTTATTTATTTATACTTTTCGTCTATTAAATTATTTATCGCACGATCTCGAAGTGTCCAAATAATGTGTTTTTATACTCTGTACATGAAATGTACAAGAGTATATTAGGTTTGCGGGAGCTGAAAAATGTAACAGGCAGAAGGAGGCGTGGCAGACCCCACAAAGTATATATATTCTTGATCAGCATGACGAGACGAGTCGATCTAGCCCTGTCTGTCTGTCTGTCCGTCTGTCCGTCTGTCCGTCTGTCCGTCCGTATGAACACCTGGATCTCAGAGACTATAAGAGATAGAGACACCAAATTTTGCACGAAGATGCGTTATGTGTGTATTCTATACGAGATTGTTTTATTTTTTTGATTTTCCCCCCCACTTCCCCCCTATGGGGGTTTTCCCGATTTTCCATTCGTATAATCGCCTATATCTCGGAGACTATAAGACCTAGGAACACAAAATTTTAGTCCCAGATGCCTTATGTGAATACGCAGAAAATGTATATTTTGGAATTCCCCTCCCTCCCCCCTCTACCCCGCAAATCGTAACTCCCGTAATTCTTGGAATTTCGAACTAAAATTTTGGAAATACCCCCAGTTGGTTATTATGTGTCCGTATGCCAAATTTCATTATGATAGACCGATTTAACAAGAAGTTATAGCCATAAATATATTTGCTGATGCAGCGCTGCTGCAGCGCTGCTCAAGCGCTGCCCGCGGCTGTTGTTGATGTTGCTGTTTGGTTGACTGCGAAAATGCTTACACAGACACGAATTGATGCGCATAGGCATACATACACTCACACAGACGCAATTGCTATGTAAATGTGCAATTATACACCCTTTACGTGAGTTCGAATACCGAGAGAGGCAAAATCGATCAAATTTTTTTTTTTATTTTCTTAATTTTTTTTATTTTCTATAATTATTGTAAACATATGTACAGAGTATTTCAAAGTCGGGACACCCGACTTTAGCTTTTTTACTTGTTAAGACTAGTGCCATAAGTTATAATGATAAGCAACTTTAATTAAAGTCGCTGTAATACAAAAACTAATCTTATCGATCTCATGGCCGCCTGTATTGAGGCTAGTTTGAAATAGTCAAAGGTCTTTAAGCCAAAATAAAATGTTGCCGTCCAATGTTATCAGACCGATAAGTATAGAAAATAGTTTGCATGCCAAGAGCAACAGACATGCAAGGACTCTGCTCTGCACCATATGGAAAACGCTTCACTGCGCCCATATGGACACACACACTCACACATACACACACACAAAATATGAGTGTATGTGACATTTGATGTGGCATCAATATAATACTGTATAGTATGTTTGTAATTCAATGCCTTTTATGGTTTGGGGCAGAGGC